TCCCTTTGCCTCTTTGCAGAGGTGGGGGACTGTTGGTGTGGAACATTCATGTGATATCAAACTCTTTCAATACATTGATTAGTTTTGCTGAACTCTTTTTTCTTTTTTCACTTTTTCCCCTTTTATTATAAGAATGGATCTCTGAGAGCAGGGGATACACTGGAAAATATAGATAATATAAAAACTAAAGAGGTCAATAACTATTTAAATATTAATATTAAGTATTAATATTAAATAAATACAAATAATAATAATAGCCTTCTTTGATTTGCCCTCCTCAGACCACATTTAAGGTACTGTATCCAGCTCTGGCACATTTTAGAAAGAACATTCATAAGCTGGAGGACATCCAAAGAAATACACCCAGATGGTGCAAGACCTTGAGATCATGTCACATTAAGAGGGGTTGAAGGTTGGAGAATAGAAGAGTCAGTTTCTTCATGTGTCAAATGAGGGGGTTGGGCTTAATGGCCTCCATGGTCCCTTCCAACTATAAATCTATGATCTTATTCTATAAAATCAATTGATCAGCTGTGTCTGATCAACTCCCACAAAGGCAAAGTTCAACTATAATCATTGTTATGGAAAACTAGCATCAGTCTGACAGCCTTTCACAGGAAATTTGCTCTGGAGGTGGATGATATGTTATCCCTCTACATTTTCCGTAGGCATTTCCTATTACAGTGAGCAAGTCTCTACAAGGCTACGTTGAACCCTGCAGTGAGGTGGTTAGGACAGGTTTTTATCATGCCCATTCTACAGAAGAAGCACACAGAAGCTTTGGGATTTGATCCATGAACCACAATCAATGTAGCAAAAACCAAACTCAAATCCCCTCCTGCTGCCTCCTAGCCCTGTACGCTCCCCAACACAGACAGTCTGGAAGAATGGAAAGAGGACAGATTTTGCAGTCAGGAAACCAAGGTTTGTAACCTGCTTTTGACACTGGTTAGCTATGTGACTGTGGGCAAGTCACTTCACTTGAATGACTTAGTTTTTGTGAGGCATAGTATATAGCATTAGACTTGTCTAATAATCAGGAACACCTGGGTTCATATCCTACCTCACAGATTTACTAGCTGTGTGACTTAAGTCACTTAAGCTCTCCCAGCCTTAGTTTCCTCATCTGTAAAATCAGAAGCTTGGGCTAGATGGCTTCTAAAGTCCAAGTCCCTTCCAGCTCTGTCTATGATTCTATGGGGACAATAATATTGATACTACCCACATCACAGATGGTTTTGAGGGAAGCATTTGTAAATCTTATAGCTAAAAATGTGAGTTTATTACTATTTTTGCTTACAGTGTCTCCATCGATTACACCTTCAACTCAGAACCAGGCAACCTATTCAACTCTCAGTCAAGCCTGATTCAGCTATTCCCATCATAATCAAACAGGAAGCCCATAAAGTAGGCAAGGAAGGATCAAAGAATTTGGGGCTGGAAGGGACCTAAGATTTCTAATCCAACCTCATTTCATTCAATGAGGAAACTGAAATCTACAGGAAGTGACTTGCCCAAGGTCTCTCCGCTAGTAAGTATCAAAGAGGATAAGTATAAGGATAAGCAGAGTTCTCATTAGATCTCTGGTCTTCAGACTTCAAATCTAATGTTTGTTTGTTTGTTTGTTTTTTCCACTATACGTTATACTGCCTCATAAAGAAAGTAAGTAGAGAATGAGAAAGATAAAGATAAAGAGGAGAAAGATTAAAAAAAAGAATTGTGGATCTATACTATTTACTAGTTCTATGATCCTAGGCAAGTCATTTTCCCCCTTTGTGCCTCACTGGCCTCCTCTGCAAAATGTGAAGTAGAGGCAGGGTTCAAACTACATGAACTATAAGTTTCAGTATTCCTTTAAAAATCAATTAGTCTGGGGAAGCTAGGTGGCACAGTGGACACAGCACCACCCTGGAGTCAGGAGGACCCAAGGTCAAATGTGACCTCAGTCATTTACTAGCTGTGTGACCATGGCCAAGTTACTTAATCCTGATTGCTCTGCCCTCTCCAAAAAAATCGATTAGCCTATTACTCTCAGGATAATTTTGTAAATTATAGTAATTCCCCTAAGAACACGTGTGTTTGTGTTTAAAGAAAACATTATTATTTAAACTAACGGTCACCAACCTTTTCAGAGTTGTGATTCCCATTAGCTGTTTGTGTGTCTAGAGAGAGGAGAGGCAGGGAGATTTCCCTTCATTATGGAGAGTAGGCAGGAGAAGGCAAAGGTTAAGCTTCTATTTGCTGTTGTCTGGCCTTACGGGCCAGCACTATAGGACAGGGAAAAGAAAAGGAAAGGACAGTTTGGGATACATGACAAGCAGCTTCCACAGGACATGAGAGCTCATTCATTTAGGAAGAAGCAGGTTGGCCCTGGCTTTAAGAGCCAGATTCCGCAAGAGTGAAATTGGCTTTGGAGCTAAGATGTAGTGGAGAGTCAATGTATTCTCAAGAGCATAAAAATGAGTTGTGTTCCCAGAAGTGGAGATGAACAACACTGAGTCATCAACATTCATTTTCCCCACTCCCTTCCCTCTGTAACCAATGACAGTCATAAGATAGCTATCAAGGATCAAGGGGTGCCAGGGCCCAGGAACATACTGAAATGTCCTTACTCATCCCTTTAATATTCTATAATTGATTTAGATGTAGAGCTAGGTTCAAAGCACTTTCTAATACCTTTCCTTAATCATTTGAACCCTGAGAGATCTCTCCATCCCCCAAGTTCCTATAGCCCTCATTTGACATAGCTTATGAAGGTAACATAGGATTGTGGGAAAAGCATTGGATTTGGGATCAAATCCTAGCTCTGTTACTTGTTCCCTGTGTGACCCCAGGTAAGTCACACACAAAGCCTCAGTTTCTCCATCTGTCCAATAAGGGGATAGAACTAGATGGCCTCTGAGGTCCCTTCCAGCTCTACATCTAGAATCTTAGATCACTAAGGAGGTTCCTTCAGCTCTAACTCCTGTGTTCAAATGTATTATCTTATGACTCCGAATCTTAGAGTTGCTGGCGACTTCTAAGGTGATCTAACCCAACCTCTACCCACAACGAGAACCCCCTTTATGATGTCCCTGACAAGTGTTCATATACCCTCTGATGGACAACCTCCAGTGAAAGGCCACTCACTCCAACTCCCTCTTCCCTTTAGAGAGCTCTGTGAGAAAATGTGTGTTTGTTCGCTTCTTTATTTGTCTTATCTCCTTATATTGAGCCAATATCAGCCCTTCTGCATCTTCAGCCACCCATCCTACTCTTGCTTTCTAGAATGAAATAGAACAAGTCTAATCCCTCTTTGATGTGACAGGTTTTCAGATGCTTGTAAATCATCTCTCATATGGCTGCCTTGTAATGTTCTTTAATGTTATATGTGCAGTGGAGAGAAGCATGGTGGGCACAACATGTTTCCAAAGACCTACACACAAAATGTGACAAGGGATACATTGAGACACTGTCCATTCTCCTCTCCCCCCTCCTTCCACATTATACAGTTCAGCCAAAATGGCTGCTCCTTACACATGGCGCTTCATTTCATGGCCCTTAACTTTGTACCATTGGATGTCCTCCATGCCTACAATGATCTTCCTCCTCACCTCTGCCTCTTAGAATCCCTAGTTTCCTTCAAACTTTAATCTAAACACTACCTTCTATAGGAGGCCTTTCTTGTTCCTCCATCATCTTATATTTATTTTGTATGTATTTATGTACCTGTTCCTTCTTCAAATAGGATATAAGCTCCTTGAATGCAAAAATTAATTCATTTTTCATCTTTGATTCCCCAGCTCTTGGCACATGGTAGTTATTTCATAAATTGACAGATAGAATGACTGAGGTGTAACATCAAGATTAAGGAGGTGGGCAAATATCATATCCACAGGAAGGAATAATTGATGGACCAAGAGAACTGGATTTGAAGACAAGGAACCTTGGGCAAGTCACTTACTTAACCTCTCTTACACCTTAGTTTTCCCCTCTATAAAATGAGAGGGTTAGACTAGATAGGCTGAACACCAGTAACCAAAAATGTAAACAGATCTAGAAGATGTCCAACTCATTCAGCTGATCCTCTATGGAGGAACTATAGAGGACTATGGATGAGTAGCTCATAAGAGGATACCATGTTTTCTAGTGCCTGTTGAAGCTGCTCATGATAGCCTAGCCATCCTCAAGCTGCCATCTTCCTTTGCTCCAGCCTCTGCTTCCAAAAGGGCACTCTAAGTTCCTGCCCTGGGACTCTAGGTTTCTGATTGGTGAACATATACCATAGACCCAGCACCACCATACTACCACCTAGCTATCTTCATGTCATGCTGCCACATGTGTGCCCTTCCTATACCCTACCCCCTCTGTTTCTTCTCTAGTAAGAACAGTAATCAAATCAACACCATCAAAACGCTAGGGCCACCACTCCCCCATTTGTGTCATCTTCCCTTATGAGAATGTAAACTGCCTGAGGGCAGGCACTGTCTTGCTTATATTTGTATTGCAAGCATTTAGCACAATTCCTATAACATCTTAGTTGTTCTGTCAGTCCAGTCGTTTCAGTCATATCTTACTCTTTGTGACCCTATTCGGAGTTTTCTTGACAAAAAATATTAGGGTGGTTTGCCATTTCCTTCTCAAACACATTTTACCGATGAGGAAACTGAAGCAAACAGGGTTAAGTGACTTGTCCAGGGTAACTTAGCTAGTAAGTGTCTGAGCCTAGATTTGAACTCACAAAATTGAGGCTTTCTGACTCCAGGCCTGGCACTTTCTTCACTGTGCCATCTATCTGCCGCACTCCTAAAATATAGTAAGTGCCTAATAAATGCTTTTCCATTCCATTTGTGTACAATTCCTTATCCCTCCCCCATTATGCCCACCCAACCCACACACAGGCATTACAGAACCTCACACTTCACCAAAGGGCTTGGCCGGTAGAGCTCAGGATTTCTATATACCAGGGCGTGTTAACAAGAGAGAGTCAAGGTTTTGTGTTTATTGGGAAAAGGTATATTAAGATAATAATGAAAAACATTGCCTTAAGAAAACCTCAATGGATTCCCTCCAACCTGCCAACCTCCCACCCCAATGAAAATTTTCACTTGCTTTTTAACAAAACAAAAGCCCTCCCACTGAACATTGTCCCCTTTTCACTGTCATTTCTCCAGTTCATTCACCAGTTATAAATCCGGAGGCTTTTGTAAGTGTCTCTTGGTGGGTCAAGTTCCAGAGTAATGGTCAGTAATGGTAGCCAGGGTGGAGATGATGTGCGGATGACCACGGCAGTCAGCCAGCCTCTCTCAAGAATAAATAAAATCTGTCCCAAACACCAGGAAATGCTAAAGAGAGATGGAAATTCAGTTCACTGGAAAGATCTTTCTTTTTCTCATTGTCATGCGTTGTTTTTATAGAAGAAATACTATCAGCCCATGTGTTGGGAGTGGAGAAGATACAGCAGGATCCCAATGACTATGGGAAATGAAGGCTCTAATTACAGCTGGGAAGCCAGGCTGGTCTGAAGGAGCCCACATTGGTCAGGGAGCTGGGGTAGTCTTTTGTCATAGTGGATTTGCTGCAAACCTAGCAGGTGACTGTTCTTCCTAGAGTGTTAGGGATTAATTGTTCTGGTCTCCATTTTTCATCTCTGCTTATGACAGCCCTTACAGGAATCTGTGCTTTAGTCAAGGTGGTAAAACCTTCCCTCTTTTTCTTTTCCATCACTCAGAACTTCCTTAAACCGCAGTTAACAGCTCTGAGGTAGAGAATTCTCAGGCTAACTTTGGAGGAATTTTGGGAAGAGGGAAGAAGGGCATGCATGAGCATCTTTTTTGCTCAGCCATTCACCTACACATAAATGGCTATCTGTTTGCACAACGTGGAACATTCAGGTACTGCTATATTGTGTGCTCACACGTCACCATTCTTGTCTTGACAAGTTGCAATAGTCCCTTTGTTTCCTAAAGGGCACTTCACTTGGATAATCTACTTGTCATGTCAAATTCTAGATGGCTAAAATTTAGCTTCTTGAAGCTTTAGCTTCCTTCTTTGTTGGAGGAGAGTAAGAGGGAGGAGGAGAAGCTAGCATTTTAACGATATCTAAATTCTCCTCTAGTACCACTCCCATAATCCTATGAAAATCAATCTTCCTCTCTATCTACCTAAGCCAGCTGGCCCCTGCCACCATCCTTAGGGTTCTACCATTTTTCTTCTGGACCTAAAACCTCAGAGTCCTCTTGGACGCCTTCTTTTCCCTTGCTTCATCATAAGCACCAAGGCCTCCCAAGTGGCCAATGCTTTCATGTCCCATAGGGAAACATACTGAATTTGGAATCCTAGGACCATATGTAAAAGTCCTAGAAGGAATTTTATAGCTCGTCCAGTCTAACATGGTGTAATGGAAAGAGAGATAGATTTGGAGTCAAAGAACGGGTGTGACTTTGCACAAGTTGCTTAACACCTCTGGGTCTCAGTTTTCTCATCCGTAAAATGAAGGGATTGGACTAGATGGGTTCCCTTTCAGCTCTAGATATACAATCTCTAGAAGTCCTTCATTTCACAGATGAAGGATCTGAGGCACAGAAAGTTTCAATGACCTGCCCAATGCAATGCAGGTAGTGATAGACCTGGAAGTTGAACTCAAGGTTCTTTCTACTATTCCATGTTGCCCATCAAAAGACCTGGTTTCAAACTACAAAATAGCTCCTGGCCAACCAACACTGCCCCAAGAGATGTCTCTCTTCTTTCAGTCTATTGTCCTTGTTGCTGTGCGGGTGAGGGGGAGAGAGGTTTTAATTGTATAATTTAGATTTTTTAAAATTATTCTTTTTACTTGGTGTGCGTCTTATCTCCCCAGCTGGATCAATAGTTCTACATGGGCACAGATCTATGCATCAGGTTTGCCTCCACCCAATCTAACCTTCTACCATCTCAGGGCTGAGTGATACCTACCAAGTATAGGTTGATGAACTCTCAATTTAGATATTTTATAACTTGTTCTTTGACTGCCTTTAAATAGTAAAAGAGCTATATTGTCACTATATGTAGATAAGTGTGGGTACACTGTGGTAAAAACAGCACTGACCTTAGAATACTTTAGGTCTGGGTTCAAATCATAGCTCATCTATTTTTTATTAATTGCGTGATCTTGGCTGAGTCCTTTCCCCTTGATTGACTCCTCAATTAAAAGAAAGGGTAGGATGAGGTAACCTCTAAGGTCTTCCACTGATGGAAACCTACATTTTAATATGCTATTCTAGGATGGTTATAACTGTCTGAGTCTACAAAGGGCATTTACTAACCTTATGAGGATATACGATATAGTCGGAGAAGTGGAGATTAGCCGGTACAGGTAAAGGATAGCCTTGCTCCAGCCTCCCTGTAAAGGAAAATAGAGGACAAAGTGAGAAGGATGGAGAGGATACAAGAAACAGTGCCGCAAGAGGTGCTGCAAGCAGATTCTACAGACTTAATTTTTTTTTACCAGGCTGGCAGCTCCTGAAAGGAAATATTTTCTCATCGGGAGCTGGGGAGGCAAAGGGAGGCAGGGATGCACCTTTGAGTCTGGAGATCTTTCTTGTCTGCCGGAGTCCTCTATTAACACCCCTTAGAGGCAACTCATGTCTTAGGAGTCTAGATTTAGCACCAGAGAGTGACTTCTAGTCCAGTTTGGATTCAGTCAAAAGACCACACTTGAGGACCTAGAGGGCCACAGGTTCCCTACCCCTGTTCTAGTCCAACCCCATCATTTTACAGTTGGGAAGAAATTGAGGTCTAGTGAAGTTAATAACTTGCCAAGTTATATAGGAAGTGAGCAGAAGAACCAGGATTTGAACCCAAATCTTCTGACTCCTAACCTAGCACTTTGGACGTCCAACATCTAGCACCTACTGCATGTAGAACCCTATGCTAGGCACAAAATTATTAATTGTGTGATCTTGGCTGAGAACCAGGCCCTGGCCCTCTTGGAGTTCACTGGGGTAATATGTTATAACAGATAGCTTTGCTGCATGGTACTGCATATTTTGTACTGAGGAGGTTGGGGAGTGAGTAACGGAGAGGGGAAATCAGTGACGGCGTCATCACAGAAGAAGCACTTGAATTGGGCCTTCCAGCTAGGTAGCATGTAATACCTTAAAGTGATCAGCTAAATCTTCACCAGGAATGAATACCCAGGCATAAAACCTGTTTTTGGTACCTAGCACTGTGAGTAGACAGACCTATTTTCACTAACCCATCCAATGTCACATAGCACAGATGGACAACCTCTGGCAACTGCACAGCAGTGAAAACAAAGAAAGCCCAGTGTTGTGAGCTTCTCATTGTGGTACTGCTCAGAGTGGTACTGAACCAGTGGACCAGGAATTCACTGAGTCCACTTACTGCTCCTCTCTTAGTTTTCTCTGCCTGTTAGAATTTCTAAGTTTAGCTCACCTCCTATATAAGGCCTTTCAGGATCCTCTGCCACTCTCCCACCATCCCCCAGCTTAGGGGTGGGAAAAAATTGGCCTTAATGCCATATGTGGCTTCCAGGTCCTCAAGGGCATCCTTTTGACCAAAAAAATGCCACCCTTAAGGACCTGGAAGCCACATGTGTCCTTAAGGGGATGTTTTCCCCACCTCTACCCCAGCTTTCAGTGCCATTGGATATATTTTGTTTAAACTTCTATGTGCATGTGTTGTCTTCCCCAATAGAATGTAAGCTCCCTGAAGGCAGGGTCTGTCTTTTTCATCTCCAGAATTTAGCACAATGCCTGGCACATAGAAGATGCTTAATAAAGGCTTAGTAATTGATCTATTGATTTACAAAATGGGGATAATAATATTTGTATCACTTATCTCACAGGGTTGTTGTTAGGAAAGTGCTTGATAAATATTAGAGAACTGTAGAAATAGGGATCATTAGCTAGAGACTGGGGGAAGAGGAGGATAGGTAGAGGATTCTACTATTTCCATGGGGTCCATTTGGACCTAAGGCCAACCAATTCTCCAATGCTCCTTACCATTAATAATAGGGAGCCAAACTTTGGACATGTAATAGGTAAAAGGGTCCTGCAGCAGAGATGCCTGGGAAGAGAAAGGAGAAAGAAGAGATGTTAATGCCCAAAGTCCCCAACCAGGCAATTCTAGTACCTCTGTTCCTCATTCCCCCTCTCCCCAAGAGCTTCAGCCCTGTCCCAAAAGAGATTACAGATTGTGCCTCCCCACCCCCCAGGTCAATACCATCAAATGAAGGGAAGAACCGAACTTTCAGCTTAGAGCACAAAGCAGTAGAGTACATAAGAACCCCCCACCACCACCATGAGACAGGAGACCTAGTTTAAATCCTGGTTCTTCCCCTTCCTGGTTGTGTGACCTTTGGCAACTCTCTTTCCCAGTTTTCCCAACTATCATTTAACAAGCATTTATTGATCATTTACTCAGTGTTGGGCGCTGTGCAATGATAATGATCCTAATTAACGTTTCTATAGCACTTACTATGTGCCAGGCACTGTGCTAAGTGCTTTGAAATTATTATCTCATTTTATCCTCACAACAACCATGGGAAGTAGATGGTCTTACTATCCTCATTTTCCAGATGAGGAAACTGAGGCAAGCAGAGATTAAATGACTTGCTCATGGTCACACAGTTAGGAAGTGTTTGAGGTTGGATTTGAACTCAGGTCTTCCTGACTCCAGGCCCAGAACTCTTATCCACAAAATTCTGTGAAGACAAATAAAAATAGAAAGAAAGACCACTGCTGCCTTCAAGGAGCTTACATTTGAATGAGAGAAGTCAAGTTATAAATTTACAAAAACTGTGGGATGAGGGTAATAATACTTTCACCCCTTTCCTCACCAAGTTATCACCAGTAATTTTTGTTGTTCACTTGTTTCAGTCATGTCCAACTCTTTATGACCCCTTTTGGGGTTTTCTTGGCAAAGATAATAGAGCAGTTTATCATTTCCTTCTCCATCTTATTTTACAAATGAAGAAACTGAGGCAAATAGGGTTAAGTGACTTGCTCAGGACCACACAGCTAATAAGCGCCTGAGGCCAGATTTGAACTCAGGAAGATGAGTTTTCCTGACTTCAGGCCTGGCACTTCGTCCATTGAGTCACCTAGCTGCCTGTCAGGAGTAAATTTCTTTGTGAAATGGAAAATGCTATTGCTATAAGGTTTATATTATAGCAATTTATAATTACAATGAATTGATTGGCTTAAACCCAGGAGAAAAGGAACCATGTGTTTGAGATACTGTAGAGATAACTAACTTTAAATAAGACCACTTCTGGGTTCCCTTCCAAATCTGGGATTTGAAGACAAGCAGGAATGTCAAGAAAATGCAAGCAATGATAGAGTAACCTCCCTAATTCAACACGGAGTTGTCCATTGGCTAGAGAGAGGACTCTACTGACCCATCATCAGCACTTCAAGCTGTTTTCCATGCAGTGGAAATGTGGTGCGCTCACTCAGTGTCTCTTTGTGATTCATGGCAATGGAACATAAGCTCCTTGAGGACAGAGACTGTTTTCCATTTTCTTAGGTATCCCCAATGCCTAGCATGATTATGCACAGAGTAACCACATAATAAATGCTACTGAGCTGGTTTGGATTAGATCAGGCAGTTCTGTCACACATTTGTGAGGAGACTGGCCTAGTCAAAGATGTAGCCTGTGGCCACAGGGCAGATCCAATCAAGCCCATGACCTCAGTCTCATGAGCATCAAATGTGAACCACAGAAACAATCAGCCTTAGACTACTTATTATGCAGTTATCCACATAATTAAAAATATATAGATTATATGTAAAATAAGTATGTGTGCTTGATTCTGAAGAAAAAAAAAAAAGAACATATCTTCGGTGTTCAAAGCACTGCTGGGGCCCCATAGTATTCTGGTTTGGGTTGCAAGATCTAGGTTCAACTCCTGCCTCTGTGACTTATTATCTGTGTGACCTTGGGCCAGTTACTTAAGCCCCTGGTCCTCAGGTTCCTTATCTATAGAATAAAGTGTGTTAGATCACTTCTTACTTCTCTTCCAGCTCTAAATCTATTTTTGCTGTTGTTTTTGTTCAGTCATTTCAGTTGTGTCTTATTCTTCACGACTCCATTTGGGTATTTCTTAGCAGATATTGGAGTGGTTTGCCATTTCCTTCTCTGGTTCATTTTACAGATGAGGAAACTGAGGCAAACAGGATTAAGTGATTTACCCAAGGTCACACAGCTAGTAAATGTCTGAACCGGATTTGAACTGAGGTCTTTACCCCAGGCCTAGTACTCTATCCACTATGTCACCAAGATTCCCTAAATCCATTTTACCCCAGTAAAAAGAAATGAAAAATTCAATCACTCAATTATTTTGTCTATAATCTCAAAAACCGTAGTATTTAGAGTGGAAAAGAATTTAAAGATTAACTAATTCAGGGGTTCTAAAGCTTTTGGATGTCATGGACTCCTCTGGTAGTCTGGGAAAGAACAAGTTTCACTCTGATGAAACCTTCCCAGAATATTTTTATTGGGTTTTTTTTTTTGGTTTTGGGTTTTTTTTGGGGGGTGGGGCACAGGCAATGGGGTGAAGTAACTTGCCCAGGGTCACACAGTTAGTAAGTGTTATGTGCCTGAGGCCGGATTTGAACTCAGGTCCTCCTGAATTCAGGGCCAGTGCTGTATCCACTGTGCCACCTAGCTTCCCCTCAGAATTTTTTTTTAATTCATAATTGAAGGAAATGCCAAATTTCAGTTAGAGGTTAGTGAAAATGAAAATGAGATTTTCTTTTTTCTAATCCAAGTTCATGTATTCCCAAGAAATCTCTCCATGCACTTACTCTCCATGCCCCATTCTAATTTTTTTTTTTCATAAAGCTGGATGTGGTCCTCAGAGCAGTCCCCATGGAGACCATGAAATAGCAAAAGCTGCTCACATCTCTACAGCACTTAATAGTTTACAAGGTGCTTTCCCCTCCCAGCCTTGAGTCCAGAAACCTGCTGATTCTCCCTTAGACTCACCTGGAAATGGCCAATATATGATTTCTTCAATTCCATGCTGAGGCTATAGAAAAGGTAGAGCAGGGAGAGGAGAAAAGGAGATAGTTGAATTCCAGATCTTTCAAGTATCAGAATACATAGAGGGGCAGACTTTGGGAATTAGAGGAAAGTGTTCAAATTGGTTTGGAGTTCAAACTGAAAAGAAGCAGGGGCAGAAGAGAGAAATTAGAAATACTTAATTCTCATAAAGCCTCCTGTAGATAAAGGGTTCCTGCCTAATAGAGTAGGATCAGCCAACCAAACTGGAGATATAGCACTTATATCAAAACACTTAGTCCAGCATCCCAGCTCTGCCATTTAAGTCAAGTCACTTCCCATTGCTGAGACTTTTTTCTTATCTATAAAACAGGGGTAATAACTGCACCACTGAACTCACAGCCCAGTTACAAGGGCCTGAGCGTAGCATAGGAATATCCACTATTATTCTTGCTGATAAAGGTTCAAGCTCATTTCCACTACCAAGTCTCTAACTCCATCATTTGCTATGCTTTTCAGTAAGGAGGAAAGTATAGCTAGCTGCCTGGCCAGTTCCCTGCTCCATCCTGGAAACCTGTGGTCATCAAGAGCCTCCCTATTCCTTCCTCCTTCCCCCTCAAGGACCACTTGTATCTGAAGAAAGAATAGTAAAAATAATAATAGCTCCCATTTACATTGGTGTTTCAAGATGTAGTTTATTCTCTCAAAAATGTGGGACCTTGCCACCACATATTCTATGCTTAGCAGATTCACAGCTATATTTACCCCAAGCTCTACTATGCCAAAGAAAAACCCAAAGGATATTAAGTCCATGCATCATAGCAAAATGATGTTGTCAAAATGATGTTGGGAAGAAATAGAATAGTAATAGGTTCTGAATGAAGGCTTCACCACATTTAATTCTATTCATCAGAAATATATTAAGCATCAACTATGTGTCAGACACAGTGTTGAGCCCTGGAGATACAAAGGTAAAAAAAGAAGTGGTTCTTGTCTTCATGTAATTTGCATTCTACTTGGAGGGATTCAGCATATACGGTTTGTATTCCTATGTGGGAAGATGATACACGCAACTTCTAAGAACTTTATCATTAAGGCAGTTAAAAGGAGTTTACATAGACAGAAGGCATGAGTATGGGTCAATTAAATTGGAATGATCTCCAAAAAAATGAAAGGGTAAGGGATACAAAAAAATGAAAGGGAGAAGAAAGAAGTAGAATAGGGAAAAATCTTCCCACATAAAAGAGATATGTAAAGAAGAGCTTTTACAATGGATGGGAAAATGTATTGGAGGTTGGCAGGCAATGCTTGAACCTCTCATTGGAATTGATTCAAAGAAGGATAAACAGAAGAAAATTGGATGGAAGGAAATACAGTTAGTAATCATAACTATGAGTGTGAATGGGATAAGGTCACCCACGAAACAGAAGGAGATAGCAGAGTGCATTAGAAACCAGAGTCCAACAATATGTTGCTTACAAGAGTCACACTTGAAACAGAAAAACACACAGAGAATTAAAATAAGGGGTTGGAGCAGAATCTAATATGCTTCAGCTGAAGTAAAAAAAAAAAGACAGGGGTAGCAATCATGAGCTCAAAGACAAAGCAAAAGCAAAAATAGACCTAATTAAAAGAGACAGTCAGGGAAACTACATTTTGCTAACAGGTACCATAGACAATGAAGCCATATAAAAATTTTTATAGAAAGTTTTTTATGAGAAAGACCACATTTTTCAAATATATACTGAGTATAGATTTAACCAAGTCAAATTTTAAAAAATAAGAACCATTCCCCAATTGGCAAATGATCAAAGGATATAAACAGGCAGTTTTTAGAAGAAGAAATCAAAGCTATTTATAGTCATATAAAAAATGCTCTTAATCCCAATTGATTAAAAAAAATACAAATTAAAACAACTCTGAGGTACCACTTTACACCTATCAGAAATGATAAATGCTGGAGGGGATGAGGGAAAATAGGTGCATTAATGAATTGTTGGTGGAGTTGTGAACTGGTCCAACCATTTTGGAAAACAATTTAGAACGGTGCTCAAAGGGCTATAAAACTGTGCCTGTCCTTGGACCCAGCAATATTTCTACCAGGTCTATATCCCAAATGGAGCAAAGAAAAAGGAAAAGGACCCGTATGTACAAAAATATTTATAGCAGCTCTTTTTGTGGTGGCAAAGAATTGGAAATATAGGGGATGCCCATCAATTGTGTAATAGTTGAACAAGTTGTGGCATATAATTGTGATGGCATACAATTGTGCTATAAGAAATGACAAGGGGAGTAGTTTCAGGGAAAAAAAACCTGGCAAGACCTACATGAACTGATGCAAAGTGAAGTGAGAAGAACCAAGTGATCATTGTGCACAGTAATAGCAATGTTGTAATGATCATTAACTGTGAAAGACTTGGCTACTCTGATCAATGCAGTAATCCAAGATAATTCCAAAGCATTCATGACTAAAAAAAAAAGTGCTGTCTACCTCCAGAGAGGGAACTGATAAACTCTGAGTTCAAACTGAAATATAATTTTCTGTTTATTTTCCTTGCTTTCTTTTTGAAATATGGCTAATACGGAAAAATGTTTTGCATGACTTCACTTGTATAATTGATATCTTATTGCTTGTCTTCTTGGTGGGTGGGGGAGATGGGGGAAGGAGGGAGAGAATTTGAAACTCAAAATTTTAAAAGAAAAGACTGTTAAAAATATTTTTTTAAGAGAACTGGCAGTCCTCAAGGAGCACTGAATTGTTCAAGTTCGTAGGGTGAGGAGGAGGAAGAGCCTAGATTCCAAAAACCCTCCTGGGTCATCTTACCTTTCCAATGTCATGCGCCCCAAAATGGTACCATCCTTAACTGCAATATAGAGGGTAACAGTGGTTTTCTAGAATGAAAACAGCAAATGATATTGTCATATTAGCTCCTATTATCAGGAAATTTTTGACCTGTAAAAGACTTTGAAAAATCAGCAAAGCCCATGAAAAGCACTTTCTTGGCATAGTCAATAAATTAGAACCTTCTTCAAGGGAGCACTAGAGATAATCTGATTGGGGCAATTAAAAGACTGATTAAACAATAATAAATTTTTCCTCCCCAACTTGCCTTTGAGCCATTCTAGGGCTACAGAGCTCCGGAAGGGGTGGGAATGGGGCAGGTTGTTTAATTAGCAAACTCAACTAGGGGTGTGCCAGCCCTTCCCTCATTTAGAATGGAATCTCCTTGGGGGGCAGGGACTATTCTCTCTCTCTCTCTCTCTCTCTCTCTCTCTCTCTCTCTCTCTCCTCAGCAGCACAAGATCAGGCACTTAATAAATGCTTTGAAAATGTTGATTGATTCCTTCCATCTCATTACCAAAGATTCTGAAAAGTGAATTCTGCCCCCTCTCTTGTGGCATAGTTGGGTCTGAGGCAGTACTGAGGATATACTGGGGATCATCTTGGAAATAGGGCTCAGGAGAGAGCTGACCTCAGAGTCAGGGGAAACTTGAGTTCAGGGTTGATCAACCCTCTGACACATGCTTGCTATGTGACCCTGGACAAGTAATTTAACTTCTCAGCACCCCCAGGCAACTCTCTAAAACTATAAATGCAGAGCAGATACAGATTTACATGAGTACAGGGAGTTAGCTCAATGGGTATTCCATATACTAATAAAATCATAGGTCTAGTCTAAAAGGAAAATATACATACATGTACATATATACATACATACACATATATACATATATACACATATACATACATACATACATACATATATATATATATATATATATATATATATATATATCGTTCAGGAACTAAGGGCCTCCTAACCTGAAGAAAAAAAATAGTCATTCTCTCCCACCCCAGCAACCCCAAGTAAGAATTATGGCTTGTCATTCTTGACTTTTCATTCCCCCAGCTCTTCAATCCTTCTGACTTGGGGACCAACCTTTAAGGAGGAGTCAGAAGAGCATTGGAATCATTAGACTCTGAGCTCCCTGAAGACTGGGCCTGTCTTTTGCCTCTTTTTGTATGCACAGTGCCTGCCACATAGTAGGTTATTAATTCATTGATTGGCTTATTGATCCAAAGACCTGTGCTCCAATCCTGCCCTTGCCACTCATTATGGGAATAACTGGGGGCAAGTCACATCACTAGTTTGGGTGAAGTTTCTTCAGCTGTAAGATAGAGTCAGTCACTTTTTCTCTACCTCTCTCCCCATGGCTGTTGGGGGAATCCAGTGAGACATTGACTGTAAATCTCATTGTAAGTGATGAAGCACAATGTCAATGTGGCATGAGAGTGTTATCATTTACACATCTCAATGCCTGGCCCAAAAAAACCCAGGAGGTCACCTCAGTATTGGTCTCAGCTTCCTCTTGGGAATAGTGTTTTTCACTGTCAAAAGGGCTTTCATTACATTATCTGATTTGACCCACACATCGATCCAGTGAGCCAGTTATTATTTACCTCATTATTTTGATCATTGGCTCAGGAATTTGGAATTAGAAAGGATCCTGTAAGTCTTCTAGTACAAACACTCTCATTTTGCAGATAAGTAAACTGCGATGCAGAGAGGTCATGTGACTTGCTTAGAGCCTCACTGATAGGTAGCAGCAGAGCATGGATTTGAACTCTGCTCCTCTGACAAAAGGCAGTATGGTTTAAAATAGTTCTTAATTTCTTTATGTGTCCTGAATCCCTTTATCAGTCATGTGAATCCTATGGACCTATTTTCAGAACAACGTTTTTAAATATGTGAGATATGTAGGATTGTAAAGGAAATCAATTACATTTAAATAGCTCTCAAATTAAAAAAAAATTCACAGGCCTCAGGAAAAGAGCCTCTGGCTTAATGGATCTAGCAATAGACTTAGAATTAGGAAACCTGGGTTCAAATTCTGCCTCAAATGCTTTACTAATTGCGTGATCCTGGGCAAGTCACTAAACCACTTATCAGTTTTCTCATCTGCAAAATGGGAGGGAGAGAGGAGATAGGAAGGTGGACTTGAGAATCCTTAAGGTTCCTCTGCTCTTAATCCATATTCCTGATGTAAATTTGTGATTTTTTTATTTCCCAATCCAAATGAAGAAACAGGTCCAGAGAAGCAACGTGTATTGCCCAAGTTCATAAAGGAAGTCAAGGGCATTCTTCATTTTATAGAGGAAGAAACAAGGGCCTAGAGAGGAAGGGGACTTGCCCAAGGTCATAGTATGTGGGATTTAAAGCCAGGCCCTCTGCCTCCAGATCCAATACTTGTGTCAGAGCAAAGACTGGAATGGGGTGGAGACCCTGTGGCCTTCAGGCTTGCAGCCTGGCTCCCCATCCCTGGACTAGAACCAAGGTCCCTGACTCTACGTCCTGCCTTCTGGATTATTGGTTTTTGTTTGTTTTCATGGCACTACACATGAGGACGGACCAGAGCTCACCCAGCTGGGCTGTGCCACCACCCATGAGTTTTCCCAGCCTAATCCAAACTGACCAGTTTCAGTGTAAAGAGGGGGGTCTGAGAAGAGTTGGAGAAAACCACAAAGACGTGGGTTGAAAGTGAAGACATGAGGCTCAGTTTCATTCTAGAGTCAACGAAGATGGTTGGTGCGGAGGAGGGAAAGTCAATGTCGATTGTCATTGCCATGCTAGGGAAGTCCTTGGACAGCTGCAAATACAAAAAAAAAAAAAAAAGAGGCTGCAGATGAAGCCCTTGGTTCTCACAAATCCTTGAAGAGATGGGCTAGCCCAGGGGAGGGGAACCTGCATCCTTGAGGCCCTCTAGGTCCTTGGGTGCGGCCTTTTGACTGAATCCAAGTTTTACAGAACAAATCCTTTTATGAAGGGGATTTGTTTGGTGACCTCAAGGCTGCAGGTTTCCCCCCACCCTCCTCCCACCCCCGCTTGCCTCTGGGCTAGACTTTTACATAAGCCCCATTGCTGGTAGGATCCTAATGACTGTGGCTGGGCACCTCTCCAACACACTTTCCCTACTCTGTTCAATTCCAATCATTCAAAACTAATGTCAAGCCATTTACAATCTGTCTCTGAACTATATTTCCTGGATGATTTCCCCCTATTCAGTCTCATTCACTCAAGATCCTGTCAAACTGCCTTTGTTTTCCCTACGTGCTGGGTTGTATCTCTGGGCCTTTGCAGTTTGTCCTCTGTGTCTAGAAGGGTTCTCTCTCTTCATCTAGACCCTTGAAGGCTCAGTTCTAGGGCTATCTCCTACAAGAGGCCTTCCTTGCTGTCTTATTTCTTAATGCTCCTCCATAATTACTTTGTATTTGTTCTGAATAGATTTACTTATCTGTGTATACATTGTTTCCACAAGTAGAATGTCCCCCTTGAGGACAAAAAACATTTCACTTTTTTATCGGGGACTTGTTTTTATAGCACCTTCATTTTTCAATATGTCCCTACATTGCTTCCCAAAAATCATCCCTTATAATAATTTTTTGAAAAATAGAAAAGAGGGAGGGGAAAAAAAAAACAGTTCAGGGAAACCAGCCAACCCATCAACCAAGTCCTCAGACCCCAGGTAGTCTAAGACTCTGCACCCCAGAGCCCCAGGAGGAGCAGCTCCCTGCCATAGTCAAATCACTAGTTCTGCTTTCAGCCTCCATGGTCCCCAACCATCCTTCAGAGGAGCAACCCTTGTAGAGACACAGTCTGCCCAGTGCCTCTGTGGCTGCTACAGTCCCTGCCAGAAGGGGCTTGAAGCCACAGCTTTAACCAGAAAAGAAAATTCTCACCAAAGTCCCTGGCATTGTCAAATGTCTCAGCATCAGATGTTGTTTTTGTCAATGGAAATGACACTACAGGATAAGCATCATTAGCAGTAGCTTTGCTACTGATCCCCAAGGATGAGGGTATGTTGGTCAATGTTTACCAATCAGCTCTCCAGAAAAAGATGTAATTAAGACACAGTTTTATATTTAATTTGCATTATTAACATTTTCTTCATCACTTTCTTGAGTCTAGATAACCAACAAAACAATGAATCAAGCCCTGATTTGTAGTATTTGCCATTTCCAAAGTATAAATGCTCACAATGAAAATCTAATAATTGGCTCTCATGAACTGGTATGAGTTGGCTCCAGCATATAGCCCACCAAGGACCATGGAACCTTTCCATCTGCCCTGCAGCCAAAACTGTGCATGTGTGTTCTCTCTCCCATCAGAATGAGTTCCTTGGGAGCAAGGAACCATCTTACCTTTCTAGAGGTATACGCTCTGTGCTTAGCACAGTGTTTTGCTTATAGGTAGCACTTAAGAAATGCTCATTGATTCATTCATTTATTCATACAGAGCAGAAGGAGAGAAGGTTCAAGTCAGGAGAGGTCACTTCCAGCGGGACCTTGAAGGGAGGGGTTTCTATAGGCAGAGAGTGTTTCCAGACGTGGTAGATGGCTTAGAGGCAGCGGGTGGATCAGTGAATAAAGCTCTGGGCTTATAGTCAGCAAGACTTGAGTTCAAATACGACCTGAAGCATTCACTAACTATGCAACCCTGGGCAAGTCATTTTACCACTGACTGCCTCAGTTTCCCCAATTGCAAAATGAGAATAATAATAGCACCTACCTCTCAGGGTTGTTGTGAGGATCAAATGAGATAATATTTGTAAAAAAAAAATTACACGTAGTAGGCACCATATAAATGTTTCCCCCCTTCTCCAAAGTCAGTAACAGAGGGACCAAGAAGGAACTATGAGAAGGCACCTAGGTTGTTTCCACTGACATCAGGATGTGCTCAATGATGTCTCTGTAGCTTTTTAACAGCACCTCATTGCATTGATATGAGGCTGTCAATATAAGCTGAACCTCAAGTGGGCCCTGTTGGTCACATCTCATAGATAAAGATGATTCTATTGGCCTACCATGTACTTTGAAGTGGTTTCTCAATAATAGGTGGGTAGGGGGGAGAGTTGCCTCAATCCATGCCCACCCTGTCCTGGTACCCCCTTGTAATCACTATGAGCTTAGCATCTGCCACCCTGATGTCATGATGGTTTTAGTAGCTTACCTAATCCCCTCCTTCCCAGGCTGGTTCAAAGAACTGTTTCAACAAGAGATGAACAACTTACCTGAGGGATCAGAATTCCATAGTAGTCGGTCGACAAAGTGTATTTGGAGTCCTTTGGAACCTGTAGTAAAAGAAAAAGCAAGGAATCTTGAGACTTGCAGTCTGGCTGTATGGGAGAGCCAAAAATTCTGTTTTGGGTAGTAGACATGGCTCAGCCACACACCCCCTTTGAGCAGCCACATCTTCCCAGAAACTAAGAACAGCACAGTCCGTGATCCCAGCCACACATACCACCTGCTCCTGAGATAACTATATTCAAGACACCAGGGCTTTAGGCTACAGCACTCAGAGCTTGTCTGCCCGCATACTACTCTCCCTCAACCCTCCATCACTATCACTATGCTGAGAAACCCCAACACACTCCTTTTCCTGACTCAGAGTATTTTCACTGGCTGTCTTTAGGCGTTGCCTTAAACTTCCTCCCTCTTCATCTCTGCCTCTTGGCTTCCCTGGACTCTTTCAAGTCTCAGCTAAAATCCCGTCTTCTAATCAAAGCCATTCGTGATCATCCTCAATTCTAGCACCATCCCTCTGTTGTTTACTTCCAGTTTGTCCTTCATATGTCTTGTTTTTTGTATAGCTGTTTGCCACTTTTTCTTTATACCTCCAGAAGTGCCTAGCACATGCTAGGTATTTTATAAAAGTCTCATTTGGTTTAACTTGATTGGGAGCAATGGCGAGGAATCTTGGCTTTACTCATTCCAATCATCCCCCTCCAACAGATAGAAGTTCTAGAGGAACGAGATTTGGATCCACATAAGGAAAAACTTCCTAACAATAAGAGCTGTCCAAAAATCAAATGGAAGTAGTGACTTCAGGGCTAGTGATTGTCCTTTACTGGGAGTGTCAACGAGATAGAAGGGGTTCTTGTTTAGGTACAGGCTGCACTAAATGACCTTTGGGCTTCTCTCTAGCTCTGGGATGCTATAATTAATTCCACCTGCTCTGCCTTACCATGGAACTATTCGTTTGGAGGGATTTGATTCCAGCATTTTTGTAAACATGTATGGCTGAATCGAAGAAGGAATGTGAGACTCCGAAATAGACCATCTGTAGTTGGCTGCTACGGAAACTCACAGCAGAAGGAGAAAAGGGGAATGAGGTATGATGAGTCAAGCTGAAAAACTGGCCCTAGGAGTGAATGCAAGAGAGAATACAATCAAGGACAAGGACTTCCCACAGAAAGTAATCAACTTTTAGGTACAATCAATCTCTACCCCCCAAAAAAGGAAATACATATGGTTACTAATCACTGGGGAAAGTATTCAACCCACTTATAAACAAAGAGAATTGAAATACATTTCAATCACTAACTTACACTGATCAAATTGGCAAAAATAATTAAAAGTAAAGGTATATACCAACAGGTACACTCATACATTGCTGGTAGAATTGCTAACTTTTAAAATCTTTAAAGAACAGTCTGGTGGTGCACAGCAAAATATATAAAAATAACCATAACCCTTTGATCTTAACCTTTATTCCAATAATTCCATTATTAAGACTATACCCTGATTTTTTAAAAAGAGTTATCTGTTCAGAAATTTCATACCCACATTATACGTAATTGCAAAAAAATTTTAAACAATCTGAATATCTGACAATAGAGGGTTAAATGAATTATAACTCATTAATGTAATAGACCACTACAATACTAGTATTACTGACCTGAGGAGTACAAAGAAATCTGGAAAGACTTCTAGGATCATAGATTTTAGAACTAGGAGAGACTATAGAGGCATTTGTAAATTAATGCAAAGTAAAAAAAAAAAACAAAGAAAGAAAAAAGTGGGAATTCTCAAAATGAAATGTAATCTACAAACACATGAGGAAAGCTAGATAAGAATAAATTGCGAAAAAACCTTGTGAGGACTTAGAGGTTATGATTGAAAAGGTGTTATGATAATTTATGTACTGGATTAATTTAATTATAAATAGTTCTAAGCAAGTTTAGTTGTATTTATATTCAATGTTAATTTTATAAAGCATTTTTATGATGTATTAGAAAAAATGCAAAGTGAGTAACTACCATGTTAAGGGTCTGGGAGTAGGGGAATGGCAGGGGGTTATAAACAACCCCAAAACAAAAGAAAATTCTAATTCTCTATTTGCCCCTAGAATTCATTTATGGGTTTTTTTAAAATTACAGTTATGCCTTCCACATAAGTGGTGGGGGTTTAAGAGCATGACCTGGAAAAATCTGAGTAAAATTTTTTGGCCCTCCCTTTATACCAGAGAAGAAGTCTGAATCATTATTATATTAAAAGATAAAATATGTTGATATTACTAAATATCATACATACATTTGTGTGTTTCTGAGTTTCTAACCTTTTTCTGTGTCATCTGCTGGCCTTTGCATATTGTCTGTGTCTTCCACAAAGCTCCTCCCAAATTCCTATTTAATTTCTTATACCAACCTGCGATCTATCAGAACCACGATGGAGAAAGTCACTTTGTGGAAGAGATAACTGTAGTTTATTTACAAACTATATGAACCTGGCTATTCCTCTTTCTAGGCTTCAGTTTCCTCTGTTGAGAGGGTAGGACTAGATAGTCTCTCCCAGCTCACACATTTTTCATTCTTAGGTTTCTTCCAGTTCTAACATTCCACATTTCTCTGAATCACCAAGTAAGGTGACTTTGACTTCATATGCTTTTCTTGGTAGATGCTAAAGGAATTGTGTTTTCTGTGCAAACACTAGCTGGTTTGAAGGCAGGCTGCCCAGAATCTGCTGGATAACATAGGGATGCCATGGAAAATTCAGTTGGCCGGACTATAGGAAACTCTCCCAGTCCATCTTGAAGAAGGAAGGAAGGGAAAGCCAAAAAAGGGATTAAGTAAAATTGGCTTTCTTTTTTCTTTCTAATCCCTACTAGCTAAATATTTTCCCTCTCTTTTTCCTACCCCCTCTTAACACCTGAATCATACCTGTTTTTCAGAAATTAAAAAGGGAGCATGACAATGCCTTACTTTATATTTTTCAAAGATTGTTCTTATCCTGAATTTTGTTTAATCTTTTTTTTTTAGGTGAAGCGATCAGGGTTAAGTGACTTGCCCAGGGTCACACAGCTAGTAAGTGCTAAGTGTCTGAGGCTGGATTTGAACTCAGGTCCTCCTGACTTCAAGGCCAGAGCTCTATTCACTGTGTCACCTAGCTGCCCGAATTTTGTTTTATCTTCATAAGAGCTCTGGCAAGGAAGCATGGGCTCAGGGACATGCTGAAGCCAACTCTTAACCTCTCCCAAACCGATTGTTAAATTTTTCGATGTGTATGTTTAAACCTCAGAAATCAACAAAGGCTACAAATCAGGGCTTCATTTATTGTTTTGTTGACTGTTTAGACTTAAGAAAGTGATGGAGAAAATGTTAATAATGCAGATTAAACTTAAAAGTGTCTCATAGATACATTTTTGGGGGAAAGCTGGTTAAAAAATATTTGCCAGCACACCCCCGCATGGGCTCTTTTTTCAAAAGAGAAAAGTTATTGGTTATGGTCATTATTAGGCACAGTAGAGATTAGTACTTCATTTTATATAGTGTGAGCTATGTAAATATATATTTATATAAATTACAATATATAATTATATTACTATTATATAATTATATATTTTATTGTTGTTATATTAATTTATATAAATATGAACATATATAATATATATTTATATAGCTTTATAGCTTGAGAACACACGGTCTAGAGAGTGGACTTGTCCAAGTGACTGGTCCAAAGTAACAGAACTCATTGGTGGCAGGGCTGGGAAAAGTACCCAAGATGCTCAATCTAATAATTATAATTACAAGAATATCTGACTCACAGTGTTTTAAGGTATGTGTGTGTGTGTGTGTGTGTGTGTGTGTGTGTGTGTGTGTAACACACACACACACACCCCTTAGAACAAGCCTGTGAGTAAGGCATCACAGGTACTGTCCTCATTTCAGAGAGACACTCAGAGATATTAACAGACTTTATCCCTGCCCAAGTAAGTGTCCACCTTCTTGGAGCTCCAAGTTGATTGCTTTTTCCACCATACCACATCACCAAGATGAGCTCCAGCATCATTTCCTCCTGGAGGATTTTATTAATCCCTTTACTCTCTGTAAGCTGTCTCCCCCTCCCAAACACACACACACACCTCACCCCCCTACTACTAGTGCCTATGCCTCTAAGGTTATCTTCCTTCTATGTATCTTGAATGTGTCTATTTACATTCACTTTCTGTCCCCACCACTTCCTTAGAATATAAGCTCCTTGAGGGCAGGGACTGTTTTTGCTTTTTCCTTCTATTCCCAGCATGTAACATAGTGCCTGGCACATAGTAGGAGTTTCATCGATATTTATTGACTGATCCAGTGATCACACCACAGAATTTTGAGTTAGAAGGGAACTTTAAGAGAATATCTGGTCCAATCTTCCCATTTTACAAAGGGAGAAGTTGAGGCCCACAGAGATGAAGGTCATACAACTACTTGGAAGTAGAGCTAGGATTCAGACCCAGGTCCTTTGACTACTGGAGAAGTGCTCTCTTCTTTTTACTACTACATAGTAAGTTCATTTACAATAGAAAATTCTGGATTTTTGAAACAAATTCCGGGTAGTTATTCACATTGCAAAGGGACTTATCCACATACTTCATTTTTTTTTTTTGTGAAGCATTTGGGGTTAAGTGACTTGCCCAGAGTCACACAGCTAGTGTCAAGTGTCTGAGGCCAGATTTGAGCTCAGGTCCTCCTGACTCCAGGGCTGGTGCTCTATCCACTGTACCACCTAGCTGCCCCAACACATACTTCATTTAAAAGGAAAAAATAACCCCCCACATCCTTGCTGTTAAGTTTTATTTATAGGTAACTGACTGACTACTTGACCTGAAGGAAACTGAGAGGTTTAAGAGAAAATTCAAATTCACATATTAGGGCCTACCGCTTTTGAAGATCAATCAGAAATGGAGTTAAAGCATCCCAGAAATTACATTTTTGGGAGAGCCTCCATTCTCTGGGCAGATATTTTCATGCTCTAAATACAAACTGAGGCATCTTAGAGATTGTCCAAGGCCACCCAGCAGAGTTGGGATTATATGCCAGCTCTTACATCTCTCATTTCTATTTCCTTTTTTGCAGCAGGCTCCCTGATCATTGGAATCAGTGGAAAAGGAAGACACACCTCTTTGTCTATGAATCTCTTTCATGGCTTGTAGAGTAAGATCCCAAAGCACAACTTAGACTGAGTTTTAAATTCTCAGAAGATATTTAGGGCTCTGTTCATTTTACAAATGAAACCTAGACAAAGACACCATGGCCTGTCCCACTGCTGCAAATAGAACCCATGAATCTGAGTCCAAAGATGCATAGAGAAAATCAGCTTTGAGAGAAGCAGCCAGTCTCAGTCCCTTAGATCCTCACTCCCTGGAGTCTGTTGAGCAGGAAAACCTTCCTGCTTTTACTGACACTCACCTTCAGAGGAATGTCCAGGTGGTAGCCCCTGGATTTTGGAGGCTGTATCAAGGAATAATCGATTCCAGCGATTCCATCCAAGTTGACTTTCACTATGCAGGGGAGGGAGGAATCACACATTTATGTAATAGCACTTTACCATTAAAAAGCACCAACCTCAAAATATATCTGGTAAAATGAGTAATGCAAAAGTGAATACGCCCATGACCACAGTGGAAGCTGAAGCCTTCCAGAAAAACTTAAAGGACTTGGGACCATGAGATGATAGATTCTCTTATGTGGAAGGGACCATAGAAATGATGATCTAACATCCTTGTTTCCTAGATGAAGCCAGGAGGTCCCCGGAGGACTTGTCCATAGCCACACAGGGAATACATGGTAATGCACTGAGCTTTAACCCACACCTCTAGATTCTAAGTCCTTTGATCTTTCCACTACACCAAGGTGCCTTTTCAAATTTGAGACACATAGACTCTAAACTCCATGAAGGCAGGGACAAGGACTGATTTCATCTTTGTATTCTTCAATGTTCAGCTCAGTTAGGTCTTTTCTGGTTCCCCCACTCCCATCCCAGTTCTAACGTCATCCTTTCTAAGGCTGCCTTCTAGCTACTCTGCATTTACCTTGTACGGTCACATTTTAATTGTTATCTCCCCTATTAGAAGGTAAGCATCATGAGGGCAGGGACTGGGGTTTTTTTCCCTTTGCATCCCCCAAATTTAGCACAGTGTCTTATATATAATAAGAGCTCAATAATGCTTGTTAATTGATTGATTGTATCCTTAGTGCCTATTAAACATTTGTTTAATTGAATTGAATACCATGAGGAATTTGCCATGGCCTGATTCTAGGAGCTAGTGTCCCTTGATTTGGTCCAATCTGGCCTCCTGCAGCTGTAGTAAGATTAAGGTAGATCCAAGGTAGAACTGGTATCACGCTTAGTCAAGAGAGGGACCTTTGCTGGCATGGAGAAGCACTGTTTGTTTTTCAATGCCAACATAGACTTTTAAAGGAGAAACCCTATCAATCCAAGAAACCATCCATCATTTCAAAAGAGAGCAAGGAAAGGGACCTGCTCCTCCACCCTAGGCATCTCCAGAACTTCACTCATTCATTCAACTACCTCCTGGAGGACACGGACCTTGAGCTGAGCTGTGGGCTGGAAGAAGGGAAGGAGAGCCTTCCAGGCATGGGAAATAGCTAATACCAAGGCAAGGAGTAGAGACAGTTGGACTCTATTTAAAGGCAGACGACTCAGAGGAAAAAAAGGAACAGCATTTCCCCCATCTAGTGTGGAGTCACACATAGGTAAGTAAATAACAAATACATATTTGTTGTATGAAAGAATATGTAAATGAATATGGCCTCTAACCACATGACCTTGTGTCAATCATTTTGAGTCTCACTTTCCATGTAAATGAGAATTATAATACATGTACAGTTCTTTCCCTTGAGGACATTATACTCTAATATGATCATTATGGATGATGATGATGATGATGAAGATGATCATGATTCTTGGTTCCAGGAGCAGTATAGAAATATTGACTTTTTGTGTCCCCCTAACCTGTCCTCCAGTGATGGGGAACTCCTTACCTTTTCTCAGTCCTTAACCTTCTTGACCTCTCTGCAGCCTTTGACACTGTCCATCACTCTCTCCATCTTGATACTCTCCGCTCTCTAGGTTTTCAGGACACTACTGTCTCCTGGTTCTCCTCCTACCCATTTGACCACTCTTTTTTCTCCTTTGCTGCCCTCTCATCCAGACCACGCCCTCTACTCATAGGTGTTCCGCAGCATTCTGTCTTGGGATCCCTTCTCTTAACCCTCTATATTATTTCACTTGGTGATCTCATCAGCTCCCATGGATTTAATTACCATCTCTATGCTGCTGATTCTCAAATTTACATATCCTGCCTTAATCTCTCCGCTGACCTCCTATCTCTCATCTCCAACTGCCTTTCATCTAACTAGATGTCTTAAAATTAGATCTTAAATTCAACATGTCTAAAACATAATTCACTATCTTTCCCCCTAACCACACCCTCCTACCTTCCCTTAATTAGAGCAGAAGACAACACCATCTTCTTAGCAATACCTCATGCTTGCAATCTAGGAGTCATCCAGGATCCCTCACTATCTCTCACCCTCAGTATCCAATCCGTTGCCAATACCTGTTGGTTTTACCTCCGCAACATCTCTTAAATATGCCCCCTTTTCTCCTCTGACCTTGTCACCACCATAGTGCAGGCCCTCATCACCTCAAGCCTGGATTTTGCTGTAGCTGATGGTGCATCTGCCTGCCTCAAGTCTCTCTCCACTCCAATCCATCCTCTGTTCAGCAGCCAAAGTGATTCAGCAACCAAAGTGCTTTTCCAAAAGTGCAGGTCTGACCATGTCACCTTCTTATTCAATAAACTCCAGTGACTCCCTGTTGCCTCCAAGATCAAATACAAAATGCTTTGTTTGGCATTCAAAGCCCTTCATAATCTAGCCTTCTCCTACCTTTCCAATCTTCTTATCCTTTATTCGTTGATGCATATTCTCCATCTAGTAACCTGTCCTCTTTGCTGTTCCATGAACAAGCCAATCCATCTCTGAGCATTTTCTCTGGTTGTCCCTTATGCCTGGAGCTCTCTCCCTCCTCAAGTCCACCTACTAACTCCCCAGCTTCCTTTAAGCCCCAACTAAAATCCCAAGTTTTACAGGAAGCCTTTCCTAACTCCTCTTCATTCCAGTGCCTTCTCTTTGTTAGTGATTTCCCATTCATCCTTGTTTGTACATATGTGTTTGCTTGTTTTCTCTCCTATTAGATTATGATCTCCTTGAGGGCAGGGACTGTCTTTTGACCCCTCTTGCATTCCCAGCACTTAGTATAGTGCCTGGAATATAGTATGTACTTAATAAATGTTTATTGACTAATTGACTCATCTCCTGAGTTAGAACAGGCAGGGTGGCTTTAATTTTTAGTAAACTTTTCTTTGAAGTGAAACTGATGTCTGTCTTCATTAGACAGTGCTGGATCTGGAGTCAGAGAATTTGGGTTCAAATTCTACCTTTACTACTTATGTGTGTCCTTGGGCAAGCCATGCAAACTTTCTAGGTCTCAGTTTTCTCATCCAGAAAATAAGGGGCAGCCAGTATGGTCCCTTCCAACTCAGATCTAGGATTCTTTAATCTCCATCCCTGCTCCTACATCTGCTATTTGGAGCCAGGTGGCAGCTTCTCCCCGTGATAGCCCTTCAAATATTTTAAAAGTAATATTTCAAATACTTGAAGCAAGTAGGAAAATGCTGGGGCCAGAGAGTGAAATGTTCCTCACTAACAACATCAACAACAACAATAATTGATTTTCATATTGTCCTCGAAGGTTAGCAAGGAACTTTACAAATATTATTTAATTTCATAACAATATTATAAGATGAGAACTATGGGTATTATTATTCTCATTTTACAAATGAGGAGACTGAGGTTAAGTGATTTGGCCAGGGACACACAGTTAAGTGTCTGCCATAGGTTTGGGGACTTTCTTTACTGTTTATTGTTGATCCAATTTATTCATCATAGTTTACTAGATAATTCCACATTCCGACTCTACTTCAAAATGGGCAGTCGCAGAACTATTGGGGGGATGAACTAGGTATGTCTTCACCATCCCACCTTCTTCCCGCCCTCATGGTTATCCTCATGCTCTTGGGGTTCCATGATGAAACTACTGCATACCTGGCATAGTGTGGAGGTAGGGTTCCACGTACGAAGTTGTCGAGGTTCTTATCACACTACAGATCTGAGGAAAGCCCAAGAATGCATATGGTTAGCAACTCCCTTCCCTCACTTGGTCCCCTACCAGGACTGGCCCCTTACCCTTCTGGGAGGCAGCTATGACTTCATGGAACAAGCACTAGATTAGAGTCAGAAGACATACATTTAAGGACTAGCTCAGCTACCTACCTGTGGGACTGTGGGAAATTAACTTTACTTTCCCGAGCCTCAGTTTCTTCATCTATAAAATGAATCATACCAGATACCTGCAAGCTCCCCTCCAACTCAAATAGCTATAAGCCTATGGCAATGGCGAGCAATTTACATTCCCTGAGATAGAAGAAGTAATTATTATCAATCTAATCCTTGATTTTCCCATCAGAAAAAGAAGGTTGAATCTGATGATTTCTAATCTTATTTCCTTTCTAGTTCTAAGATATTATGTCTTTTTAGCTAAATAATCCCTGGGATTCCTCCTTCATGGGAGTTTCAAATGGGACAAGGAGCAGGCAAGGGCTTTTGACCCAAATTGGAGAGTTGCTGTTCTCCATTCGTGCTACTGTCAGACAATCACAGAATCTCACTGTTCAAAGGGCACTTAAAACCACCTGCCCCTGAGAAGTAATCCCCTAGCAACATCCCCAACAAATAATCATCCCAGCATTTGCTCAAAGGCCTTCAGCAATGGGGAACTTTGCACATTCCAGCACATCCCAATTGGAACAATGCTAACTTGGGGAAAACTTTTCCATATATGGAGACCAAAACTCTGCTCATCTTCATCTTCCACCCATCATTCCTGGCTCTGCCCTTTGTAGCCAAGTAGAATAAGTCTGTTATCTCTTCTGCTTTACTTCCCTGCAGATACTTGGTGATGGCTAGCATCCTCTCCCCTGACTGTATCCTACTCTCTAGGTTTGTGCTGGAACTAGTTTGAACCACCTTTGAAAAGATTGTCAAATGTTCAGCAAAATTGGCTACAAATCAGGGCTTTAGTCGTTGTTTTAATGATCATCTGGACTTAAGAAAGTAATGGAGAAAATATAAAGAATTAAGCTTAAAAGTATATGTGTGTGTGTACATATATATACATATATACATACTTTCTTTTAAGTGTATATATACATACTTTTAAGTATGTATATATACATATATATACTTGTTTATGCTTAGTAATGTATATGAGTGTATATATACATGTATACATATACATGTATATATAAACTCAAACATTTTTCCCCCAAAGAGCCAGCACATTGACCAGCACACTCCTGTTTATATCGCTCACCAAATCTTTTAGTCTCCACTCTACTAACTGATCTTCATAAGACAAAGACTAAAATCTCCTCCCTACCCTGGCTGCCCTCCTCTGAACAAACATAAAATCATCGAATTTAAAGCAGATGTCGTACAGCCTAACCCTCTTATTTTACTGATGAAAAACCCAGAGAAGCTGGGTGACTTGATCAAAGGGCAGAAGCCTTCTGTCTCCAAATCTGAGGCTCTTTCTACCTGACCACTCAGTTTGATTCCCAAAGCTGAACATAAATATGATCTAGTGAAGAAGAACCATCAACTCCCTCATTTCTTGACACTGATTGGCTTCCTGGAAATAAAGGATCCTAGAGATGACTAAATGAGCTTCAGCAGTAGGATAGAAAGGCTTGGCCAGCCATTTGTCTAGTGATAGCATAGTCCCTGCCCTTAACATTAATGACTCCAAATAACCACTAGGTGGCACCAAAACACAAGCATTCAGGACACACGCCTGCTCTTTGTTTTTGGGATTTTTTATTGGGCTTCCCCCCACACATACTCTGGGAATAATTTACCTACAACCATGTCTCCCTTGGTTACCAGGCGTGGGGATTGCCTAACCCCTGCCTACTAACAGATCTTTTATTCACTCATTCCTTCATTCCACAAACCTTGAAAGAACAGTGTGTCCAGACATCTGGTCTGGTTAGTGTGGGACATAGAAAGTCAATAACTCTTATGTCATTTTCTCTCTCTAGGCTTCAGTGTCCTTATTTTAAAATAAGAGGAATCATGGATCTAGAAGGGACCTCAGAAGTTGTCCAGTCCCACCGACCTCATTTTAGAGGGTGACAAACTAAAGCTCTAGAAAGTTAAGTTACTAGCCCAAGGTCACAGAGGTCATAAACCACAGAGCCAGAACTAGGTCCCCTGATCCCAAGCCCGTGCTCTTTCCATTGCACCATGCTGGATTAGATGGCCTCTCAAGGCTCCCCCAGCTCTGCCATTATATCTTCTCAGGTGCCTTCCAGCTTTGGTAACCTATATTTTAAAAGCCCTCTTAACTCAGGTGTTCTTTGTTCTAAGATCCCTTTTCAGCTTTGACACTCTATGATTTTAATTCTAAAGAAGCCACAGTCCCATGGATGAGCTTAAAGTAATTGGGGAGACAAGGCTTATGTGAAGCAATCAAAAACCACTTGGTGAGCAAAAAATCTTGGAAGTCCCTGACAATCTAGCAGAATATATTTTGTCCTTTCAGCCCTGAGTACTAGGAGCCAGAGAGCAGTCTTTCAAAGATGGGGTTAATCCAGGAAGGTTTCTTGGACTGGCAGGAATTGGTAGAGAGGAAGCCATTAAGTCATAGATGATAGAACTTTAGAGCTGGAAAGGACCTTCAAGATGATCTGATTCCACCCCCTTTTATCACCGAAGATCAATAAAGGAGATGAATAACCTAGCCTCATCATAAAGAATTACAAAATGTCAAATGTCAAAACTCACAGGGACCTTGGAGCCCTCGGGACCTCATTTTATAAGTAGGGATACTTGTAAATGGCTTGCCCAAGTTCATATGATAACAGTGGTAGAACTGGTACCAGCCTGCTAAGTTGACACACTGAGTCAGTGGTGAAACAAAAACCAAATGAAGACTGAGGAATGGGACTCTCCAGTACCCTATGCCTTCTCCCTGCAAGTAGGACTAGGAATGTTCTTTTCTTTATCCCATTTTTGCTGGAGGAGCCAAGTCCTTCATTTTTTCTTCACGAAGTGAAAGCAAAATGCTGTGATGGAATACATTACCCAATCAGCAAGAAGGCCCAGCTGGTCAATTCCTATATAAACCAGAATCTGTTGAGTCCTGTGATCTGGGCTTTTCTGAGTTCTCTGGCTTGACCTCCTAACCTCTGATACCTTCTGGAAAGACAGTCAGTAGGGAATGGTAGGCAAAAGGAAGGGCTAGCTGGAGAGCAAAGCTAACGGGGAGCTTTAGACAAGGATCCAAGAGATGGAAAACATCGCCTTAAGCCATACCTTTTGGAACACGTTATTGTGTAATGTTGTCTGGATATCGTTCTGATACACTTCTCTCAGCAAACTGGAAGAAAGAACAGAATCTCAAAGTTAGACAGGTCCTTAAAGGGTATTTTGTTTATCCTTACTTAAACAGAAATCTCCCCTACAGTATCCCTGCCAAGTGGCCATTCAGCCTTCACCTGAAGCTCTCTAGAGGAAGTGTGACCTAGAACAGAGTGCTAGACCTGAGGTCAGAAAGGCCTAGGTTCCAGTCCTGCCCCCAGCACTTACTAGCTGTGTGTGGTTGTTGTTGGCTCATTTTCTGTCATGTCTGATTCTTTGTGACCCCACTTGGGGTTTTCTTGGCAAAGATAAAGAGGTGGTTTACTATTTTCTTCTCCAGCTCATTTTATAGATGAGAAAACAGAGGCAACCAGGGTTAAGTGACTCGCTCAGGTCACACAGCTAGTAAGTATCTGAGGCCAGAATTAAACTCAGGAAGATGAGTCTTCCTAACTCCAGGCCTGGATTTATTGGCAGGCCTGTACCACCTAGCTACCCAACTAGCTGTGTGACCTTGAGCAAATTATCTAACCTTCCTGAGTCTGTTTCCTTATCTGCAGAATGGAGATAATTAGACCTACAGTGCTCTAAGGTAGTAGAGCTGCTGGAAAGCTCAAATGAAGAAATGTTCTTAAAATGTTTTGGGGAACACATTACATAGCTTGAGCCAGACCAACATTCGGTAAAAATAATGCGCAATTTGTTCACACCCATAGTCCAATCACCCAACAAATGTTTATCAAGGATAGTATATGCTGCTACTCTCCTCTTGCCCTATTCTTCCTGAAGGGTCTCTTTTTCTTCATTCCTTCCTTTCTTTCTTCCTTCCTTCCTCCCTAGCCACCCCTCACTCTTTCTCCTCCTCCTTCTCTTCCTCCAAGTCTCTTCTTCCTCCTCCTTTTTCTCCTCTTTGTCCTCCTCTCCTTCTCTACCTCCTTTTTCTCCTTTTTTTCTCCTCTTTCTCTTCCTCTTCTCCTCCTTCTTCATCACAATAACAACTGACATGTATATAGAGGTTTAATATTTGTAAGGCATTTAGCATAGTACCTGGCACACAATAGGTACCATATAAATTATTGCTATTATTTTTATTATTTTTATCATTATCCCCTGAAAAACACTAGGAGATAAGTGCTATTATTATCCTCATTTTTACAAATGAGGAAACTGATCAGATAGACTCTGAGTGATTACCCCAGGTTCATACAGTTAGTAAGTGTCTGAGGCAGAATTCAAACTCAGTTCTTCCTGACTCCAAGTCAGGAAGCACCTCCCTGCTGGGTCCCAAAGAAGCTTCCTTCTTGCTTTGAAGCCCAGCTTAAATTTCACCTCTGACTTATCACCACCTGGTTCTGATCCTCTCCTTTATGCCCGGAATCCACTGTGTGCTACCTCCTCAGGGCTACATTGGTTGGCCCCATCTTTGCTTTCTTGTGACTGTATGTTCTGTCTCCCTTCTGGTTGTAAATGAAGCCTAAGTCCATGTTGTCTCTTCTTATGTCTGGGGAGATAATGTGGTGTGATGGAAAGAAGACTCAGTTTGGAATGAGAGGCCCTGGATTCCAGTCTCAGCTCTGCTACTTGATGCCTGTGGGATCCTAGGTAAATCACTTCAAGTCTTTGGGTTTCAATTTCATCATCCTTAAAATGACGAGTTTAAACTTGATGACATCAAAGACCATAGGATCAGAACTTCTGGACTAGGAAAGATCTTAGAGAACATCTGGTCCAACCTTTTCATTTTATAGATGAGGAAACAGACCCTGAGAGGTTAAAGGTCTTCTGGGATTTGAACCAAAGTTCTTTAACTCTAAATCCAGTGGTGTTTCCACTCAACAGAGGACTCCATACTCTCTAAGGTCTATTCCAGTTCCAAAGCTATGATCTCATGATTCCCTATCCATAACACACATTTTGGAGCTCAGCCTGCAGCAGATAACCGATAAACGCCTATACCACTTATTCATTCAAGCATGGTACACTAGGAAATTTAGTGTTATTTGCTCATTTTTCAGCCTTCTCCAACTCTTTGTGACCCCAGTTGGGGTTTTCTTAAGAAATGCATGAGAGTGATTTGGCATTTCCTTCTCCAGCTCATTTTACAGATGAGGAACTGAGAAAAACAGAATTAAGTAACTTGTCCAGGGTCACTCAGCTAGTAAAAATCTCAGGCTAGATTTGAACTCAGGAAGATGTGTTTTCCCAGCTCCAGGCCTGACATGTGATGATGTGATGTGCTACACAAAGTCTGAAGGGGAAAGTCATTATTGACTGAGGGGTGGAAAGAGAGGTCTGTGTCAGGGAAGGTTCCATGAAGGATATGGCATGTGAATTGTACTTGAATAGATAGGAGCACAAGAGTAGGAGGGTATTCAAGGCCTTCATCCTCCCTCAAGTGAGAGAAAAGGCACAGAGGCTTGGGAGAGTAGTAGGTATTTGTTAGGAAGAGAGGGAGAGGTTGAGAGTAGACCTTTTTGGGTTAGTGTACAAAGTGTATGGGGTGGGGTAGAGTGTAATGATATGAAATAAATCTGGAAAGATGGGTGAGGGTGTCAGATTTGAGGGCCCTTTAACGTCAGGCCAAAGAGTTTGAAGGCAATAGGAAGCCACTGAAGATTTCTTAGCAGAAGGGTAATATGACCAGAAGAAAGATTAATCTGGAAACAATATGAAGAATGAATTCAAGGGGAAGAGAGTAAAGACAGAAAGACTTGTTAAGAAGAAATCACAACTTCTGAATGAGGGTGGTGCCATGGAAATAGAGGAGAGAGGTTGTATGTGAGAGATGTTGGAGGGATGGAATTAATAGCATAGGTAAATGAAGGATAGAAGAGAAAAGGGGAAGAGCAGAGCCAAAGACAATCTCAAGGTTTAAGCATAGGATCCAGGGGTCCTAGAAAAATCTCATAAGAATGATCCAGCAAGAAGCATATGAGCATACCTTTGGTTGGTTGAGGTGAATATGTGAACACTGCCAATGTGGATGATGCATGATGAGACAGAAATAGAGATTTGGTTATTATTGTTCTTCCCCAGATTAAATCCGGTTCTGATGGTGACATCATCCAGTTTCAGGTCAAAAGGGACATGATTATTTCTAGGGGAAAAAATTCTGAGTTTATAATCCAACCAGGATTTCTCTTTCCCTTGTTTCATATGTGCCTATGGCTAAGATTCACAGGTTGATAGATTTAGAACAGGAAGGGGTCTTTTAGTTCACCCATTCATTTATATATGAGGAACCTGAGACCTAGAGGCTGAGAGCTGGCCATCATTAAACAGGCAAGGCCTTGGACTCAGCTCTGACTCTGAATCCGGGACTTTTTTTCACGGTACTCTACTTATCCCTCAGCTAAACAAAGTGATTTGTGCAGAGTCATATATGTAACATAATGACCCTGAAACCTGCTCTGCACTTTAGAGTGGCCCCAGTCCCCACATTCTGTGAAGGAGGCTACATTCACTGGTAATTTCAGTTGGGATTTTGAACTGATGGACCAAATTCCTGAGCTTCTCTCCCCAGCCACTATTCAATAAAATTTAAGCCAGTAATAGCATGTATGAGCTGGTCCTTAACAAAGCTGTAAGAGTCCCAGTGATGGTATTTACTGAGTGAACCTGAGCAAGTCATAGCTGACCCTCTTCTACCTTTGTAGTCTTCTTATTCCTTATATTTCCTATCATACTCTGTTCTCAGTACTCTGAGATCTAGTAACACTGGCAACCCTGCAGTTCTTCACACAAGCTACTGCACCACTCAACTCCCATCATTTTCACTGGCTATCCCCAGGCCTGGAATTCTTTCTCTCCTCATCTCTGCATCCTAGCTTCCCGGCTTCATTCAAGTCCCAGATAAAATCCTACTTTCTACAAGAAACCTTTTCCAATCCCCCTTAATGCTAGTACCTCCCATCTGCTGGTTATCTCCAATTTATCTTATCTATACCTTCTTTGTACATAACTGTTCGTATGTTATCTCCCCCTTTAGACTATGAGTTCCTTGAGATCATGGACTGTTTGTTTTGTTTTGTTTTTGCCGGTGGTGAGAGAGAGGACTTTCTTTGTATCCTCAGGGCATAATATAATGCCTGCCACATAGTTGATGCTTTAAAAAATGCCTGTTGTCATGACTGCTATGCTCAGTATACTGAGGGTACAAAGTCGAAATTATGCCTGGAATTTACTCTCTTCTTTTGGGTCTGTTGAAATCCTCCTGTTCTTCTCAGACTTTGACCACAGGCCACCTCATCACACAAATCACTTTTCTGATCCCCTCCTCATTCCCATCTTTTCTCTATCCTCTCAAATTTCCCTAGAACCTTTTGTCACATACTCTCCTTTCCCTTATCCCCCTATGCCCTTGTGTTATACTAATTTGCTTGTAGGCCATATCTTCCCCCTATAGACTGCCAGGCTCTTGAGAGAAGGAACTGTCATCGTTCTTTTCCCTTTGTATCCCTAACACCTAGCACAGACCTCTGGCAGAACCTTCATAAATGTTTGTGGAATTGCCTCCCTATGAGAGTCATCATGAGGGTTACATGCAAGAATAGATGGGAAATTAACTTTGAAAAGTTACCAATACAAGTTTTAGTATTGAGACAAAGCAAAGAGTGGAATTTGAAACCCAGAAACAGGGCCAAGGAATTATGGCTGCAGTCAAAGGAGAGTCTCAAAGAACCCAAAGAAATGACTTACTTGGACTTCTGGCTGGTCCATTTTCCATTAATGATGATGGAGCTATTGGTCATGGACAAAACAAAGCCTTTAGAAACCACACTAATATGGGATTTTTGCAACATAAACTTGCTGATCATCATTCTGCAAGAGAAAACAAAAGAGAAGAGACTCTTTGAGCCCAAAAGGTCTCCATGGAAAGATTCCAGAATGTGATCTTCCTAAGGTCTGGCACTTAGCAGTATCTGATACAGAGTAGGCACTTCACAACAGCTTGTTGACTTGACTTGACTGCATTAGGCAAAAAGGAGGCCGCACAGAACAGTGGGAAGACACTGGTTGAAGAGGCAGAGGACCTGGGTTTGGATTCTAGCTGTGCCCTCACTTTCTGTGTCACTTCAAGCAAGACCCTTTACTTCTCTAGGTTTGAGGTCCCTCATCTATAAAATGGAGGGGGGGCAGTAGACTAGATGAGCTCAAAGTCTCTAATGGTTTGATGGGTTGCTGTCCTTCATTGTAAAAGAGAACCAAAATGACATCATTATAAACATAGTGGTACAATGTGTCCAACTGTGGCTGATCAGACCACAGGTCAGGCACAGATAGTCCATGTGAATATCTGGAGTGAATTGTTTGATTGTCCTACAAGTGTAGGATTGAATTAGATCTAGAAGGGTAAGCAGAGGTCTTCTGGCCTGGTGGTGTTAGTAGATACAGGGCCACTAAACTGTACATGAAGATCCCTGTAGGCATATTGACTTTGAAAATCACACTTTCACATTATCTATGTTCTATTGTATTTTTATTTATTTTGTTAAGTATTTCCCGATTACATTTTAATCTGATTTGAGAGGTATACATCTGATAGGTCTCATCTAGATCAAACTTCTTGTTGTATAGATGGGGAGCTGAAGCCCAGATTGGAGAGAGACAGCACAGATCAGAGAAGCAAGGGAACAAGGTCTTGAACCCAAGTCTTCTGAATCCTGATTCAGTGCCCTTTCCATTGTAACATGCCACTTCTCCAATTATCATTGTCCTGAACAATGTCACTTTGTTGTGAAGTTATTAATCCATTATAACACAATTGCACTATAACACTGTGGAAGGCCATTCTGACATCCTTCGCCTGCCCGTCTACCCCGGCCCAGTTTATAATGATTCTACTCTTGCTCTAGACGGTTGACCCTCTAAGACAGTATCATATTAATTTGCTCTCACTATTTGCTCTCGCAGTTGCAAGGCTGTCCAATGTAGCGGTGAAATCTCCAGTCTGTACAATAATTTGCTATCCGTTGCTTGCTTCTCTTCCCTCTTCCCCAAATGCCCTCCCCTACTCCTTTTCCACCTCTTGCTGAGGGAATAGTGATCAACTCAATATTACCACTGCTTCTGGAAGTGGCATGATAATGGACTGCCTGATGGCTCTCCTCACCATTCCTGCACTTTCCAGACCAAATTTTCCCTTCCTGGGTCACACTCCTCTCTATATGTTGTTTCTCCTTATTAGAATGTAAATGCCCCAGAGGGCAGTGACTGTGTGTCTCCAGTGCCTAGCTTGGTGCAGAACACAGAATCGGTACTTAATCTGGTCTTTTCATTCATAGGAAGATTCAGTCATGAAAGCTACCCCTGAGGTCACAGAGAGGCTCTCAAACATACAGCATTTGCCTGCCTCTACCATCTTAGCTGGGTTTTCTTGTGCACCTCTTTCAAGTTTTAAGTTGTTTTCCCATCCACTCCTCCAACTAGAATAGTAGGGTGTATTCTCCTTATTTTATGGTTACTGAGGTCTAGGAAGGAGCAGTACCTTGTCCAAAGTCTCACAAGGAGTCAGGTTTCCTGCCTCTTGCCCCAGGATAGCTTGGTAGCTAAACCAGCAATGTGGCGCAATAAAGGGTTGAAAGTCGAAAGACCTTGGTTCTGTTTCTGGCTGTCACTACATTTCTACAAGATCTTGGAGAGGAAAGATATGGCTTCTTAGTCACAGATAGCCTCTAGTCACCTGTTGAAAGGAATCCCTTGAAGTGATTTTGAAAGAAAACAGGTTTGGCCATTAGGAATTGATTGAAGGTAAAACAGTCTCTTTTTAAATTTTGAAGGAGAGTCTTCCTATATCTTGGAAATGCAGTAACCAATCACAGCCTGTTCCTAATTGGAAGCTTAAACCCTCTCCATATTTCTGAGCTGGGCCTGCTTGCCCCACCTGGTAGCCCTGTATTCCTGGAGGTTTACCACATTGGCACTGGTTTTAGTGTGGGCACACTACTATCTTGAGCACTGCTATAGCTCAGAACTCTCAGAAGGAAGCAAATCACCATCTTCCGTCCACCTAGCAGCCGGCACTATTGGCAGGTGCCACCACGTTGGCTAAAGAAGCCTTTCAAAGCCTAAATTAGAGGAGTATCTGCAAGCTCTTCTTCATGTTTTGCATTGCAAAACAAGTTGACCCCCGAAGGGCAAGATTTGGAAACTAACAGACTCTTCTTATGGAGAGGAAGCAGCTGAGGGTTTTTTTCTAGTCTGATGACTTGGTATGTGAAGGATCTATCTCTCACTAATAGAAGTAGAGTTTAATTAAGGGCCTGTAAGTTAAAAGAGGGGAAGCTAGGTGGAGCAGCAGATAAAGCGCTGGGCCTGAAGTCAGGAAGACATCTTCCTGAGTTCAAATGTGGCCTCAGACACTTACTAGCTGTGTGACCCTGAGCAAGTCACTTAACCCTGTTTGCCTCAATTTCCTCATCTATAAAATGAGCTGGAGAAGGAAACGACAAAGCAATCCAGTATCTTTGCCAAAAGAACGACTGAACAACAACAACAACAACAAAGTTAAAAGAGATAAGTCAGACTCCCTTCTCCTACAAAGTAGATCTTTAGTTAATCATTCCAGTTGAAGCCAGAAGGTGGCAGTAGAGAGAGGTTCTGTAACCATATGTCTAGCAGCAACCAGGCTAGGAAAAGAGCATCACTCAGCAATGACCACATAAGACCAGCAGGAAAGGACACTTGGCAGACACTTTTTGCCACATCAATCAAAAGCAGCAAAATGGCATCCCCAAAAGACCTCAGGAGCCAATCTGAAGCATCAGGGTCATGAGTTGCCATGCCACACACGTTTCTTAGGTGTGGGCTCCTCCACACGTGTTCCCTGGCCACGTGTTCCCTGTGTGTGGGATTCTCCATACCTTTCCCCAGGCATAGTCACTCCTCCCACTGAAAATGTGTGTTTCTGCGGGTAATTATGCTCCAGGATTAAGGGGGAAATGTTCTGTTGCCACTTACTAACTATGACATTTCATTAGATGCTTTTGCTTTGAACTAATTGTATCTACTATCTGACTAGTAAAAGCAAATATGCTGTGGCAAAAGGGGCTTATGACTTTTGAGTAGATTTAGACCCAAAGAATGCCTTGAACTTGGGGTAGCTTAAGGAGGAAGGATTACACATGGAGAGGGCACTCCCAGATGCTACATTAATATTCTATGACCCTAGGATTCCAAGATTCGATGGCTCTGATGTAAGAGAGCCTCAGCTAATGTAGTCACAGAAGACTAGGAATTCAACCATAAAGTTTAAAGGAGGTGTTTAACTGTAAAATATGCATCTGTGCCCTGATACCTTTATAAGATGTAAACTCCTCTCTGGGTCCAGAGTGGAACAGAGCAACTGCCTAAATTAGCCACACCTCTGGGGGTTTTAAATAGTTGAACCCCAAGTGAATTTCAATCGTTTTGAGTCAGAGTTAAAGGCATTGGGACCTGGGTGCTACCTATGGAGGAAACCTGGGGACAAATGGAGAAGGGAATTTATTCTTTCCCATGACCAACATTAGCCATGTCGTAGCTTTGAAAAGGTGGCAGAGCTGGCATGGTGAACCAATACACAGAAACCTGTGACTTCAGAGACATATACCCCAGAAAGACATGGATACCATGAGACAGTCACCTGAGGAAGAAAGTAGCTTCAAGAAGCTGCCTCTGGCAATTGAGAATCAACCTAGGCAGTTCTCTTAGTGATGGCAAAGAATTTGAAGGGATACCCATCAACTGGGGAATGGATGAACAAGTTATAGCATATAAGAAGGTAGAATACTGTTGTGCTATAAGAAATGATGAAGGCGAAGTTTTCAGAAAAACAAGATTTGGAAAGACTTAAATGAATTGATACAAAGTAAAGTGAGCAAAAACAATTTATACAATGACAATATTGCAGACAATTTTGAAAGACTTAGGTACTCTGATTAACACAATAACCAACCTCAAATTCAAAAGACTGATAATGAAACATGCTATCCATTTCCATATAGAGAGCGGATGGACTGAGAATGCAGATTGAAGCTTCTTTTCCTATTTTTTCTTTTTTTAAAAAAATGTGGGAATCTGTATTGCTTGACTATGCATATTTGAAATAGGTTTTGTTTTTCTTGACTTCTTGATGAGTAGGGGAGGGAGAGATGGGAGACAGAGAATTCAGAACTGACAATGCAATAAAATTCAATTTTTTAAAAGGGGAGTCAAAGCTATGAAAAGCAGTAGATCCTGGGAACCTAATGTGAGAACTCTATAAAGAGAAAAAAAAACTTCCAGGCCTTATGGTACCTTTAATGCACATGTATACTACACATGCACCTCATTACCACTGTAGCATGAATTTGAATCCATGGGAGAGAATATCCCACATTTATGTGGGAAGAATTTTATAGCCACTATTCTTGCTACGCCATTTGACAAACGCTTTTGCTAAGAGCTGATCGAGTATACTGGATGAGTGCTCACGGGAAGCCCATGGTTTGGAGCTCATGCCCTATAGTGTTAGGAGTGCGATCCCTCAGGGTTACCCCTAGAACCCGAGGCAGTAGTTGCCCTCTGGGGACACAACATGAGATGAGTGCAATGTTGAAGAGTAGTCCTGCAGTACACTAGGGTTCCATGATTCTAAGATATAGAATTCTGCGGATCAACAATTCTAAGATTCTAGGGGTCTAAGATCCTACGGAGGAAAGAAAGGCTAAGATTCCAAGGACTGAAATTGGCCTCACCTGATGAATTCATAATCCCCTAGCCCCATTTGAATTGGCAAAGAGATCTTCAGCAGCTCCTCCTGTAGTAACTCTGCGCCTTGCTTTGAAACTGAAGGGACAGAAAGCAGTGGAGGTTAGTAGTCATGACATTCCCATGTAGTATGTGTGACTGGGTTGGAACATGTGATTGCTCATTCTGAAAGCGAATAAAAATGTATCCCCACAGCAAGCTGTCAAATAGAGGAAGTATCTAAATATTGTATACCATATGACTAAATATTATATACAATATGACTGAATATTGCATACAATATGACCCAAATGTCTACTGGTACGAGCAGAAAGAGCAGGGGCTCTGCAATCATGGGACTGGGGTTAAAATCCAGCCCTTGACACTGCTACTTGATTGATGGGGGGCAAATCAATTTAACCTCTCTCGTACTCACTTTCTTCAACTGTAAATTTAGGGAACTTGATCAGATGGCCTCTGATGTCTTTTCTGTTGTTGTTCAGTTATGTCCAGCTCTTTATGACCCTGTGCACCATACTGGTCCATGGGGATTTCTTGGCAAAGAGACTGGAATGGTTTACCATTTCCTTCTCCAGTGGATTTTTTTTTTATTTTTAGGCAATTGGGGTGAAGTGACTTGCCCAGGGTCACACAGCTAGTTAAGTGTCAAGTGTTTGGTCTGAGGCCGGATTTGAACTCAGGTCCTTCTGACTTCAGGGTTGATGCTCTATCCACTCAGCCACCTAGCTGCCCCTGAAGTCCTTTCTAGCTCCACTTATATGATCCTCTGGATTTAGGCACTGAAGGCTACATTCAAATACAAATATGCTGCCTCAGAGGGACGGCACATTAAGATGTTATCACCCATTAGGACCTTTGCATGAATTCATTTAGTTGATTAACTTTAGTCATTTAATAAAGGGTGATCTGAGGGACAGGCAAACACTGATGACAACGTGGTGATCCTGGAGGACCAGCAGGGAGGGCAGAGACCTTATTTGCAGGGACTCTGCAAGAGGGAAGATGCTGCCTTGCTTTGTTTTCATACTTCTTGAGCACAGACTGTGAGGCTAGCACAGAGGGGATAAAAGGTAACTTGGCCTTTTAAAATTGGCTAATTACTCATTAGAGGCCAATTGTGATTAAATCCTATCGAGAGAGTCCTTATAGGCATAGAAAAAGATAGGACAGAATCAGACCTGAGTTGGTTCTCTTCCTGATTGGTAAAAATGATCTCCTTTACATGGAGATTTAGTTAGGAACAACAAAGTTCTGGGGCAGGAGTGAGGGGAGGAAGCATTTAGATAGTTCTAATGTGTAACTGAGCAGCCTCTTGATGCCAGCTCCCACCAGGACATGAATCTGTATGAATCTGAGCACATCGCCTCCCTTCGGTTAGATCTTCATTTCCTCTTCTGTATCATGACAGGGTTGGACTCGATCATCTCTTCCTAAAACTCTTTTCAGCTCTTAGGTTCTATGTTCTGAGCCCCCTTTAGCTCTGACATTCTATGAATTCACGAGTCTATGGCTCTTAGGGGAAGGGTAATAAGGAAACAGGGCTATTCATCAGTGAAACTTCATTCTGGGTGAAGCCCCCTAACTTCTTACCCGTATAATATTATTGCTCTGAGAGAAGAAAATTTCTAAGATTACCAGCTCAGCTTGTCCCTCCCACCCTGTGCAACCCTCCCGGTTTCCCCCAGCCCACTGGGAGCATTTCTCTGATTTGGATTCCTGCTATACTTACTGTCTGCCCTTTCCATCAGTCATGTACTTACCGAGAATATCAAAGTGAAGAAGGGAATTTAGAAGTCATCTAATCCAGGTCCCTCATTTTATTGGTGAGGAATTCCACTGAAGCTCAGAAAAGTAATCTGACAGGTCTAGAGTGGCAAGTCACTTAACCTGTTGTAAGCAACCCTCTGAGTTACAAAAAGGACTAACTCTGTGAGTTACAAAATCCAATCTGGCTCGGTAGAAGTTTCGTCAGCTGAGAGTTTCCTTCACCAGTGAAATCACAGACCCAGTCCCCATTCTTATTATTAGTGGCAGAGCCTGGACTTGAATCCACTTTTCCCAGCATCGTCTAGGACTGTCCTCTACAACATACTTCCTCCCCTTCTGACATTTCTTATACTATTGCATCTGTTATTTAACCTTCAAGTAAATATTTAACTTTTTATCTGCTTCCACCTCATTTTCTGAACTAGATTTTAAAGTCAAATTCTCTGAGATCAGGAATCTAGGTCTTATACTTCCTTGCATCCCCTATGATATCAAGCACAGAGCCTTGTACCTCATAGGCAATCATATATTTAATTCATTCAACAAATACTTACTGAGAAACTGCTACACACAGAGCTCTATGCTAGATGCTGGGGGATGGGGCTGAGGGGGAGTTACAGAGATCCACTCCCATAGCACTTAGCAGAGGGCACTCAGCAAAGACTGACCACCATTGGACCAAGTCTGCCTCAGACTCAGTGGTTGAAGGGAAGGGTTTGTATAGGGAGCCACTGTTGGTAGAGAGATCTTTTTCCCTACCTAGAGCTGGAGTAGGAATTCAGGCAGCTGGATACAAATTGTTGTCCCTAAGAGTGGTCCTGTGCTCCTATAGCCATCCCCAAGACAGCATGTAGGTTCATTCATTCACCAGCTGTTAGATCTAGAGGAGGCTTTCAATCAGAGTGTTGGAGCAGGTGAAAGTTCTTAGAGATCATCCTGTACAGCTCTTCTTTGTACAGAGAAGGAAACTGAGGCTCAGAGAAGACCTCCAAGATTACATCGCAAGTTGAGGCTGCCAGGCACTATGCTAGGTACTGGGTATAACAAGAACAAAAATAAGACAGTCCCTGCCCTCAAGAAGCTTGTATTCTATAAAGCATGCACACATTAAAGTCTATACAAAATAAATGCAAGAACATTTTCAGAGTGAGGGAGACACTAGCAGCTGGGGAGGGGATCAGTTAAGAAAGAGCTTCATGTAGGAGGTGAAACTTGAACTGAGCTTTGAAGGAAATTAAGGATTCTAAGAGATAAAGGTGAGGAGGGAAGGAGTTCATTTTGTGCACAAGGAGCAGTCTCTGCAAAGTAGAGAGCTAGGCAAGAGTTTTCTCAAGGAATAGCAGGAAGTCCAGTCAAGTTGGACGATAGAGTAAATGAAGTAATGAATAATAACCCTGGAAAGGTCCACAGATCTGGCCTTAAATATCAAGTAGTTTCCATTTTATTTTTTCCTAGTGTATTTAGTAGATTAATTTATTGACAGCTAGGTGATACAGTGGCTAGAGTGCTGGGACAGGAGTCAGGAGGACCTGAGTTCAAATCTTTGTAACCTTGAGCAAATCACTTAACTTCAATTTCCTCAACTAAAAAATGGGGGTGATAATAATAGCACCTATTTTGAAAGGTTGTTGTCAGGATCAAATGAGATAATATTGGTAAAGTGCTTACTTAGCACAGTGCCTAGCACACAGAAGGTGCCATATAAATGCTAGCTATTAATATTAGTGATGTGACATGGTCAGACTTATGCTTTGAGAATATGATTTAAGCAACTCTGCAGAGAGTGAATGGGACAGGAGAGGGCCTAATTAGGAAGTTATTGCAATACGAGATGAGAAAAGGCTGAATTAGTGAGATACTGAAGTAGAATTCATTCAATTTGTCCACTGATTGGATCTTCAGGGTAAAGGAGAAGGAGGCGTTGAGGATGGGATAGTCATGCCCTAAACAGAAATAAGGAAGTTTAGAAAAAAGGATGGAATTTTTAGTGAAAGAAAATGAGTTCTGTTGTGGACAAGATGAATCTGAGCTAGGGGACATTTAGCTGGAAATGTCAAAGAAGCAGGTGGTGATGAAGTTTTAAGGTCAGGAGAGATGCTGCAGTTGGATAGAGAGAACATCTACGTAGAGATGGGTCTGGATACTGGTCTGAACCCATTGGATCTGATGAGGTTAGCAAGGAAGAGAATGTAGAGATAAAAGAAGGCCCTGGAGAAGACCTTGGGGTACAGTCATAGTGAAAAGAGGAAATTTGGATGGTGATCCAGTAAAGAAGTCTGAAGAGTAGTCAGACAAGTAGAAGGAGAACAATAGAGAGTGAGCCTTTCTTGGACTGCCTCAATTTATGGTACTTCTTGAAATTACCCTGTGTTTATGTTGTACATATATGGATTTTGAGAAACAGAACTCCAGTTCAGATCCCTATTCTGCTACTTACTATGTGTGTAACTTTTGAGGAATCATTTAACCTTTCTGAGACTCACTTTCTTCACTGGGGAGATGAAAAGGTTGAAGTAGATCATCTCCCAGATACTTTCTGGCTCTAAATATTCTAATCCTCATAGTAAGAGTTATGATTAGAACCCGAGTATCTTGACTCTCAGCACACAGCTTTTTCCAAAACACTAGATTACATCATACTTTTGCCTAGGGCCAACCTTCTCTTATTCCTAGGACCTTGAGGGCTGCAAAGGGAGAGAAAGAGAGAGGGAGAGAGAGAGAGAGAGAGAGAGAGAGAGAGAGAGAGAGAGAGAGAGAGAGACTGTTACCTGTTCCTTACCATGGTCTAGGCCTTTCTGGGAAATCCTTAGCACTATGCCTGGTATCTTCCTCCCCTTCAGAGCCACTGCCATTGCTGCCATCAGCATCAGCCTGATCCACATCTTCTGAGACATCCTGATCTTAGGATGTCCTTGTGCTCCTGGGGCGTTCTGCACTAGTGTATACTGCCTCTGACACCCTTTCCAGGACGTCATCTGAGAGTGAGCAGTGCCTTTATAGCTGAGCAATAATGGGCAGTGGGGGGAGGGAGAAAGAATTCTAAACAATGAAAAAAAGGAGGAAGAGGCTTGGAAATTGCTCCAAGTCTCTCATTTAAGAGAAAGGTTTAATCATTAACACAAAATCTACACCTAGGGAAGCGGCCAGCCAGGTTTTGATTTCTTAGAGTCTAGATATTGGACTGACAATAAGAGATCACCTTTCAATAGGGCTTAATTTAAGGGGTCTGGGAAGAATGTCAGGGTTCAATTTCTGCCCTCCTCAGCACTATTATTAGGACCTAAATAAATGGTGGTGGAACTGAATTTATCCCTCTCGCTTAGATCCCTCCCTTCTCACACAACCTGGTATTTACCTGACCTCACCTCCATCCTTGCACAGAGCATCCCTGGCTCTGTACTCAACCTCCATACTGGAACATAAAATCTCCAAGCTGAAAGGACTCTTGAAACGCAGAACATAAAATGCTAGAGCTGAAAGTTTAGAAATCACGTCTCCTGGACTATTATTGTGGTAGCCTCCTTAATCAATCTCTTTGCATTCACTCTCTTCTCTTCTTCATACATCTGCCACTCAGCTGCCAAACTGATTCTCCTAAAGCACAGGTCCCCATCTTAAGAAGCTTCAGTGGTACCATATTGCTTTCAAGATAACCTAAAACTTCCTCGGTTTGGAATTAATAGCCCTTCACAATCTGGGTCCAGGCTATCTTTCCAGGCTGATAACATATTACTCCCTCTCACTCTAAGCTTCAACCAAATTGGCCTATTTTACTGTCTCTGTATCTGGCATTCCACCTCTCCTCTCTGCCTCAGTCCAAACTGACACTCACCACTGAAGTGCTCTCCTTCCTCATCTCCACTTCTCAAAGCCTCTGACTTCTTCCAAGCCTTCAGGACTCGGGTGCCACCTCCTCCAAGAGGTAGAGAATTTCTCAATTCTAACAATTATCTTTCTGAAAGAAAGAAAGAAAGAAAGAAAGAAAGAAAGAAAGAAAGAAAGAAAGAAAGAAAGAAAGAAAGAAAGAAAGAAAAAGAAAAAAGAAAAAATTTAAAACCCACCAATTATTTATTTTATGTACATATCATATATTTATCTGTGAACTTTTGTGTCATCCAAGTAGAATATTACTTCCTAAGGGCCAAGATTGTTCTACCTTTGCCTACACGGTGCCTAGCATATAAAATAAATACTTGTTGATTCATTGATTCATTGATTCATTGAAATCAGCCCTTCATTTACAGATGACAAAAAAAAAATGAAGAAAGGAAATGACTTGCTCAAGGTCAACCAATGAATTCATAAATTACTCTAGAGTTTTCTTTTTCTGTTTTGACTCTACCTGATTTATGTCACGACTATATCTATGTCGTAAAAAAAAAATTGTTAAGATCTCTTGCTATTTAATCAGTCTTTGAATGTCACTTATGAATCCATATGGTCTAGGATATTTTTCCTTTGGAAGTTCATTTATAGCTTGTTCAATTTAACATGCCATCTACCTCCTGAAAGAGGGATAATGGATTTAGGATCCAGAATGAGACATATATATGTGTGTGTGTGTATATATATACATACATATATACATACATACATACATGATATGTATATGTATGTACATATTCACTTAGTGAGGAAAAATGTTTTGCTTAACTATGTATACTTCTTGTTACAAGGAATTTGTTTTTCTTTTCTCTTTTTTCAATGGAGTGGGGAGTAGAAGGTAGACTATATTTCTGTTAATTTTTTAATTTGCTTTAAATAGAGAAGTGTGAGGTTATAAGGTGTGGAATGTTACATGTACATGAATATTGTATTTTTCATGTTGTAAAATGTTTTTTGTGGAAATATTTTCAAATAAGAAAGGAAATATAGCTAGCAAATGGGGCACAAGACGATGTGAGGATTAGATTAATAGAAAATGTTAAGAAATAATCCCTCTAGGCTTCTCTCTATAAAATCAAGGTATCATGGATTTAAAGTTGAAATAGACCTTGGAGATCAGCTAGTTCAGAGGTGTCAAACACCCTGAGCCTGGCCAAATTAAGGTCATAGCACTCCAGAGTGCCCCAAATCTAATTAAAATGTAATTAGGAAATACTTAATAAAATCAATAAAAATGCAATAAAGCACAGATAATATTACATTTAAAACGAAGTCAATATGTGGCATGCCTGGATCCCTCTATATGGATTAGCAGCCTTTGTTTTTATTTGAATTTGACACCACTGATCTAGTCCAACACACTCATTTTAGAAATGAGGAAAAGGATGTCCCAAAAGCTAAAGAAATTTGCTACCCCAATATCACTCTCACACAGGTAACAAGCGGCAAAGGTGGTATTTGAACCCAGGTCCTCAGACTCCCAGTCTAGTACATTTTTCCTTGTACCATTCTGCCTGATAGGGTTTGACTAATTTCTTTCCGGCTCTTAAATCCTATGAATCTATGAATATATGAGATTGTTCAAATCTGTGCCAATAAGGAAATCATCATAATCAAATAAGAGAATTATATAAAGACACCAAAACATGAAAAATCATCAAAAGCATTTATGAAGTGGCCCTATTTTGCATATAATTTAAGAAGAACATTGACTTGACCCAGCTTCTAGAATCATACAAAACAAGTCTATGTGTCACATACCTAATGGTAAGGTACACTGAAAAATGCTAGTAATTTCATTTGTACTAAGACTTCAAAACTCCAGGAATTTTCTGTTGAATTGCTCCTTAAGGTTCTCCCTAGGACACATCACAGATTTCAGTGGCTACTGTCTCATTCATGATATTCTCAGTACTTCAGGATTTATGACTTACTTCTTTATAAAGATATATCCTCCTCTGATACAGATTAGAACCTCTGCATACCTCAGTAACAGTCTTCTTGAGCTGCCACAGCTAAAAATATTAATTATGATAACATTTTTCTTTTTTCTTTTTTTTTGCTTTTTGGTGAGGCAAATGGGGTTAAGTGACTTGCCCACAGTCAGTCACACAGCTAGTAAGTGTCAAGTGTCCGAGGCCAGATGTGAACTCAGGTCCTCCTGACTCCAAGTCTGGTACTCTACCCACTGCACCACCTATCTGCCCCAATAAACATTTTTCAAAGAAAATTTTGTTTATACCTTTTGTTTTTACATTACCTACATTTCTCCTCCTCTTCCAGAGAACCATTTCGTATAAAAAGGGGGGGAAATCATTAAAACTAATCAACAATCCAAATATCATATGCAGTGTTCTTTACCCATAATCCCCTCAACTCTACAATCAAGATAAGGATTTGCCTACTCATAAATGTTTTCTGGAGAAGAGTTTGATCTTTATAATTTCACAGCATTCAGTTTCCAATCATTTTGTCTTTTTTTGTTGTTTCCATTTCCAGAGGCAGCTAGGTGACCCCATGAATAGAGCTAGGCATGGAGTCAGAAAGATCTTAGCTCAAATGCAGCCTCAGATGCTTACCAGCTGTATGACCCTGGGCAAGTCATTTAACCACTATCTGCCTCAGTTTCTTCAGCTATAAGATGGGAATAATAACAGTACATACCTCTCAGGGTTGTTGTGAGAATCAAATAAGGTGATAGTTGCTAAAGTGTTTAGCACAGTGCCTGGCACATAGTAGGCATTTAATAAACGCTTATTTCCTTCCTTCCATTTCAATATCAATATGTCTCCAACTGAATGAATTTCATTCTCTCCCTTACTCTTTTTGTCACTCAGGCTAAGCTGGGTGTCACAAAAGAACCATATGACTTGGAGTCCAGGGACCAGGGTTGTCAAGCCCTGGCTCTGATAATCACTGGTTGTGCAAGTATGGGTGAGGCACTTAACCTCTCAGACTCTTAATTTCTTTCTCTGTGAATGAAACACCTGGCTCATAGGGTGGCTGTAAGGAAAGTGCTTTGTAAATCTTAAAAACCTGAAGAAAAGTGAGCTTGTGACCAACCCCAGGATCATCTGCAATTCTTCTCACTCTACCATACCCTTCCAGTTCACCATTTGTAACATCCTGAGGATCTGTTGTTCCTCTCCATTCCTACTGCAGGCTTTTACAAACTCATACCTGGATTCTTGCAACAGCCCAGACTATGGACAGGAAGGGAAAATGTGGGAAGCACTGAAGAAAGAGGAAGAGGAGCTAGTAGAGGAGTAAGAGAAGGAGCAACCAGAGAGAACAAAGACACAAGACAGGAAAGCGAAGGGAGAAAGGACTGGCTTAATAGGTACCTGGAATGTTCAAACTGCAAGGGACTTCAGCTATTTCCCCTCATTTGATAAACCCAGGGAGGAGAAGTGGCTAGCAAAAGATCACACAGACAAGACCTGAAAAGGAAGAAGGAGGGAGAAAACTGGAAGTAGGTAATATTGAGTAGCTTCAATGCAGAAAGAATAGGTGTAGAGATACTTGATAATTTACAAGGAAGAAATTTAAAAGCAAAAATAGAAAGAGAGGGAGCAGCATTAAAATCTATGACCCCAGATGTCTTTACACAGATACACAAAGTCTGGATAATAAGCAAGGTGAACTAGAGATCCTAATGTAAGGAGGCAAATTTAACTTCAGAGGTATCACAGAGATTTGGGAGTATGGAACCCTAACTAGATTATGACTACCTTAGTTGAAAAGAAAGAAGATCAGCAAGGGAGGTGGGTGAGTAGAGCAGCCTTATATATTAAAAATACATATTCATAGAAGAAAATCCAAGAATCAGAAGGAGGAGAAGTAGGGAAAGTATTTGGTTAAAGATCAGTGGAGGCAGAAGCAGAGGCAATATTGTCACAAAGAATATTATAGATCACCTGGACAGATAGAGGAAATAGATGAAGAGTGCGGGGAGCAGATCTTAAGCCTGGCAGGGGATATGATATGATAGTTGTGAGGAATACTTACTGGAGTTCTTCTTGTCCCTGTCTCCCTCCATCTCTCCCCTCCTCTCCTCTGTGTGTGTGTGTGTGTGTGTGTGTGTGTGTGT